GCAATGTGGTCTGCCATTCCACAAGAAACCAGAGACAACAGTGCAATTGAATGAGTTTTATTACAGATGCAGAACATTAGTACAACCAAAATCACACAAAACCAAGTTTTTCAAATTTGAACTTAGATCTTCAGATGTGGTGAATATAACATGATTTATTAAAGTAAATGGTCTGCACATACATGGGCATTTTCCAGCCTAGTTGACCACCAAAAGCCTACTTTTTACCACTGGCCACATCCAACACGTTCAACCATCCACAAACACATGTTCCCCCCCACACATCTTGGTTTATGGTGTTTTGGGCAAAAACTGTACTAGTTATTCTCCAATACCCATGCATCAGGGCAAGTGTATTGCCCCTCTACACTTAGACATGTGGTCTCGGGAAGAATGAAATTGAACCCCTAACTTTTTGCTTATTGGCAAGAAACTGCTCCCCCTGTAGTGCAGCTGACCAGTGAGGTGAGGGGAAGTTAACACAGCCACATTCCCAGTGATAAATCAGCCAGCCAGCATAAGATCTGTTTGCTAAAAGTCACTTGAAGCATTTGTTGCTTGTCATCTGTCCCCCTCCACAAAACAAAGAAATCCACCGGTTTAAAAACGTCCTCTGACAAATGAAATGCCAACTCTATCAGCAGCATCATTGCGTTGCGCAAGCATCCATGAATCAGTTCATTCTGCTCCTGTGCATGTAAGCAATTGCAAGGACGATGCCCAGCTGAGCTGTAACAGTAGCTTGACTCAACTCCCCATCTGTGACACACCCTCCATCCTGCTACCCCTATCCGTAATGACCAGGATGCACCACCAGAAATCAAAGCCATTTAAAGGGATTCAGAGCCAGAACACACAGGACATCCTAAGTGTTTGTGAACATGTGCCCTAGAGGGGTTGTAGATGTGCCAGCAGTGCGAGGAAGTCTGTTTTGTGCCAGTTTTAACATACTATGAACTACATGTCAGTCAGTGGTAGCAGATATGGAAAATGAACGTTTGAAGAACGTCATCCGTGTCTAAAATCTGAAAAAAATCCTTCTTTGACTCAGCAAATGGACATGTGCATGTATGTTGGGCACGAGGCACTGTACAGAGAGCAGAGATGAGACACGGAGTAAATGTCAGTGGGCCGTGTTGGCAGTGTGGCTGTGGCCTGTGGCCCCCTTTGACCTTTCCAGCAGGGCAGTGCGCCGCAGCGCTGCATTCATCCCCGGCCCGTTTAAAGCCAAGCCCCGGAGCGTGTTCGCTACAGAGCAAACAAACTCCTGACTCACACTCTGTCATCTCTGATGTCATGTTCGCAGCTGTGCCCGCCCATGTCATCAGCTAGCCCTGAATCACCTCTTGCAGGCTGCTGATTGCAACATATCCACTAAGAAAAGTGACAACACCCTGAGCTCAGGTGGCTCCCGCAAATATTGCGTGCACACTCAGGGATCTGATCTGCGAATGTTAAAAGGTGGAAGGAGTCCATTCATAATCTTTTGATTATGCAAATTTGACCACATTTATTCTCATTATACTGCATGTTTGTGACAATTTCTACATTACCTTGATTATTTACTAATTCGCTGATACATAAGCCTGCTTACCATACATTATATACTATGATCATGTGATTGGTTATTTTGAAATGTGTGGAATCAGGAGGTCTCATTGTCCTTGATGCCATGATTTTTCCCGAACCATCTTCATCCTCCGCTTTACCTGTAACATTCCGTCTTCCCTTGCTCTGCCACTGATGAGAGTGGAAGATGAAGCTGGCGTGACCTACAACAACCTCTGTGAAACCCAGGGATGTTGAGCCACTGCCTCAGATGTTTTTTTGTTGACACACCTCTCCGCCCCCTCCGCTGCAGCCATCAATATTTCATAGACTTTCACTGCCCACATTAGCCTTGGTAGTAGCCAGTACTGGTAAATCACAGACCTGAACTCGGCCATGCCGGTCTTCATGCTGATTTCCCAGGAATTTAATGCATTTCCATGTGATGTTTAGGATTTGTTCTCCTTAGATTTGTAGCTTTGGCACATAAGTCAGCTTTCCCCTTCCTCAATGCCATGCTTTTTTGACTTCCGGAACTTGATAACCACCCTTGCCCACGATGCCTCGGCCTCCAGAGTCTTCATGAGCCACCTTGTCTGCACATTTGATGTAATTGCTACAGAAAGGTTGTCCAAGAATCTTATTGTATGACTCTACTGCTCCTGTCACTGGCCTCTTGGCCACGATGTTTAATTATTAAACATGCCTGATACTGGGCAAGAGTTGCAAATGGAGGAAAACTAAATTAAGAAAGGCTTTTTTTAAACAGGCCATGGTGACACATAAACTATGTCCATAAACTTAGACATAAGAACTGTGATCAGGTTTAAAAACAAGGAGGAATTTATGGTCAAAAACTATATAATGTTATATCTTGGTCCCATTTTCCGGCATTAGACCACATAACTGAAATAGTTGCACTGTGCATTGTACTGTTTTGTATCACTTGTCAAACACACGGTGCATATTTCAGCCCGTGGACAGATGAATAACATCTAAAAACAGCTGGCACAGCTGAAGTCTCCATCCCTGAAGCGTGTGCAGCCCCAAACAGAGCACAATGGCAGAACAGATACTATGACAAATCTATCCGACACAGTTCTACCACAGCGGCCCTCTCCTGCATAACTTTTCTTTTGACAAAATTGTTTTTATCATTCATCTGGAAAACGGCTAGCTTGTAGAGCACTTTTCTGACCAGGAGCTGTGGGAGCTCCACTTTTCAATAACGGTGGCTGAACATCCCTGAGCCTGCAGCATCTGTCAGCTCGGCTGCATCACGGCTCACAGCACCAGGGCTGGATTTCACCGCCTGTTTCTATGGAACCCACAATATCCATGTCTTTCTGGGTCAAAAGTGAACATTGCTAAATACACTGATGTCAAGTTTTACCGGGTTTGTTTTTCCTATCTAATCCTTTTTGTCTGACATGCTTTGAACAGCTTTGAATGTCTAACAAACATCAGTATTTGATGCATTTGCTTATTTAGTCAAAATAACTATTTAAGTATCCATTACAACGTGTTCACTGGCTTGGCAAACTTTTACTGAGTACTTCATTTCTATTTAAATTCATTTGTGTCACTGATGTATTCTTTGTTTCAATAAAGGATTTCAGTATGCAAAGTAATGTTAGCGAACAAGATCATTACCAAAATTAGATTAAAGCTTTGTTTAGATCTATAGTTGCTTCCACTGCTTTGCAACTATAAAAAAAAAAAAAACTCTAACTGTACTGTTTGATGAAGCAAGCTCCATGAAATATCACCTTAATGTCAACGACTTTATCAAGAGGAGAAGGGATGGACTGCCATGAGGGTTTGCTTTATACAGCATCCACTGGGTATTACTTTACAGGCTTACAGAAGTGGTTATTTGTGAGGAAGGCCCCTGTGGGCAGTTCTTCTTTTACTCTCAGTGTCAAGAAGATACATCTATATTTATCTATCACTGTGAAAAATATATCTTACGTTTCCGGAGATGACTGGATGGGTTCTGGACCTGCAAGTTTCAGTTCTACAGTCACTGGGTCCACTAAACTGTCCATCCTTTTAGTGTATTTTCTCAAAGCTGATATTTTATCTCTGCACTCTTTTCTCCCAATTAGATGAGGCAGATGGCCATTCATGCTGCGTCTGGCTCTGCTTGAGGGTTCTTCCTATTAAAAGGGACATTTTCATCCCAACTGTTGCCAGGTGCTGCTCAGGAGGAGATTGTTGGGTTTCTCTTTGTCAGGTTTTGACCCCATTACGTTATGCCCTCTCGCATACCATTTGTTTTGGTTTCACTCTATATAACTCATATTGAACTTGAGCACTTCCTTAGCATTACTCATTATATGGAAATGAGGAAAGTTTCAAGTTTTTTTTCAAAACTTAGAGTATCTGTTTTTTACTTCAGTGAATTCAGAAAATAACAATTATCCTGGCCTTTTTCTTATATCCTGTGTTTGATTAGTGACACACACAGTTTAACAGCACATCTGGGTCCCTGCATGATACAAATTACATATAAAGTACCTGCTTATATTTTCAAATCTCTGTGTAAATAGTGATAAAATAAAAATTGACATTGATAGATTGCCCATTTCTGGCACATAATCCTCCATGTCTACTTCAAGATTGCTTTGGTACCTCCACAACACGTCAGTCATTTGTGGATAGAGCAGTTCATTTCACTCATCGAAATGTTTCATCATGTCGGAAACATTGAGAGAAACAGTCATAGATGGGGGACAAACTTGGTCATTCTGACTGAATATTTTGACGAACCGTTTGCAGTTGGAAAACTGGTCTCACGAGAAAATGCAGTAATTGTGAGAGTGATAAAGATTTAGCAAAGTCTGAGGAGCGTTCGGGCCCAGTAAGCCGTGATTACACAACACACCCTCTGATGAAACGTAACCTTTTGAGTGTCATAATCCCAAAGATTCTGCGTGTAAAAATGACAAGATTCAGTCATTGCGGCGGACTTTCCGTTCATCTGATTTCCCCGAATCCCTCCGCTCTCCTCAGGGCTCAGCGAAGGTTTTGAGTGAGCTTAACATGAGGTCGAGCAAAACATTAGCACTTCACCGATGACATCATGTCCCCGGTGAAAGAAAAGAGGTCCGGGGAGCCTGAACTCCGCCTGAGCTCAGAAGATACTGCGCAGTAACAATCGATAGCACTGAGCAAGCATCAGAGTTTTTATTATCTGAAAGGCTCTGAGCTGATCCCCCACTGTAGTGACTAATCTAATTGGAGTCGACACAGACTCCCCAGCTGCGTGGTGCTGCCAAAGAATGAGAGAAGACTAAGATGTCAAAGGGATCCTCTTGAATCAATAGTCAGCAACCGACGATTGTACTGTCTTCGCTCCATTCATCCATCAACACCATCTAACTAAAAGAGTCGAGAACTGTAAGTGTGCTCTACCGAAAGCCATCACCTCAGTTGTAACAGCGGAATCCATGGTTGCACTTTATTTCCCACTGCTGTTCCAGTCCAGTAAGCCCAGTCAGAGGTCTGTGTCCGCTCTTCTGTTAAACTTGGCTGTGGGGACCATGTGGAAAGTATGCTGCTGCAGTTGTCACGTCCACATGCTCTCCACCGGCAGCAACCGACTTACATTTAGAAATATGACGCAACAAAGTCAGTGGAAGATGCACGGCCGTTTACATTTTCATTAAAGGACAAAATATTCCACCTCGTCGTCAGCTGGGATGGGCTCCAGCCAACCCACGGCCACCACCGCGTTGGGAAGAAGCCATATAGAAAAATGGATGAACGGATAAAATTTCCTAGCAAACTGTGTTAAAGTCTCAAGCACGGAATCTCTGGAAAGATAACTTTTAACAGACAGGTTGTTTCTCTTTCCAACTGATTTTGTGTGGAGGAGATTAAGAAGCTCTTGTGGTCAGTGTTAATTACACAGGTATGAATTATTAAACCTCTCAACGATTCGGTGAAAGAAAAAAGCATTTACAGTCAATAAGTGCCAACACTTGAGTAGACTCTGGACTCCCTTTGGGGGGATTTCAGAGCAAGCGATGGGTTCCAGTTTATGTGCTGGACCAGAAACCGATACTGGATTTAAATCTCCAGATGGCACATATAATCAGCATCCTAAACCACTGACTGCGTCAGAGTAAAAACGCTTATTTTATCTGTAATTTGTGTGTTATTGCTTATGTTTATGTGGCCTATGATGATTGATAGACAGCGCAGATTGATGAGGTTGGATCAAATGCTCTCATTAAGAACAGTATCAAATGGCTGCAACTGACAAATGGCATAATAATCTCTTTATTTTTAGTTCATACGGGTCAACAATCCATAAAACCACAACACCTTGCACTTACATTCACAAAAGGCTTCTTTTGGACCACGTGTGAGTCTGTTTGTACAACATTTCTGAGTCGAGTGGGGTCAGAATTTTTGTCAATGGAAGTTAGGGTTTTAGATTTGCGTCCAAACAGAAATCAGCTCTCATTTCTGAGACGGGAAACATGGTGGAACAAGTTCCAGACGTGCTGCTCGGCATGAGGTAACAAGAGCAGTTTAGATTCTATTCTAGCAGAAATGTATTCAGCTGTTACCTGACAAAGTCAAAAACAACTAACAACTGACAAACAGAACAAGGTTTATAGGTTGATTCATAGAATATTGAAAAAACAAGGGAAAGATATGTTCCCAAACATTAGAGGCTTTATCTGGAACTGTAAAACTTTGAATCCCTTTTGGCCTCACATTAACTATTGTCATCATTATCAGTTGTGACTAGCTGGACTATTACCAGAGCCCACCCCCTTTGTACCATAAATTTCCATCCATAGGAATTTTTTTCCAGACTTCCTCTTATAATTTCGTCTGTACTGTTGGTGCAAACAGGTTCTGTGGAACTGTTGCCTTGAGCTCATGTGTTGGCTTCTTTAGCAGGGCACATGTACACCATCTAGTGGTATAAAGTTTCAAATGCACTTTTACAAACTGAGGGCTGATAAAGCAGAATTTATCATCGCAGTGGAAGTTCTTTTTAATGAAAAATAAACTGATTATACTTTACTTTTAAAAAGATTTAGCTCATTTTCGGTATGTTGCCTGTTTTGTGCCGTCCCTGGCTAAACATCAGGAAGTTGATATTTTTGTGATCCAGTATTTATGATTAATGTTCATGTTGATGTTCATTTTATAAAGAAACTGTATGAGAATATCAGAGGTTTGCAAATATGAAGTTTTATTCAAGTTAAATGTGACATTTGAGTATGATCCAAGAGAGGTGACCGGATAAAAAATAAATCAACACACAGAACCAAGAAAGAAATTACACTCTGTTGTTGTGAATGTTGTAATTCAGGTATTTTTCCGAGTCGGATTGTTTGTCTCTGAACAAACACACAGTTAGTGTGAGCGCACATGTGCAAACAGACAGTTGCACTTTGGAGTGATGGTCCAGTGTGCGCCAGCCAAGATGTCACAGAGAGCTGGGATTAATCTCATTTTTTGGTCTTTGCTGATTTCTGCCTTTCAGCTTGTCTCTGGGGGTAAGATTTCCCAAAGTGTTCAAGAATACCGGCACTGAAAACTTCTACATCCACAGAGACTCATGCTTTTCTCTGGGTCACCACAGCTCCGGCCACAGGCCCCGTGTTTCTCTCTGGTCAGACTGCCGACAGCGTGTTGCGGAGACACAAACGTTATAACACCGGTATATTTGAAGAGCTGATGGAGGGCAACTTGGAGCGAGAGTGTATAGAAGAGAAATGTGACCTGGAAGAGGCCAGGGAAACCTTTGAGAATGATGAAAAGACTGTGTGTATTTGTTCCTTTTGCTTTCCTCTACCACATATGTTTTATGTATCCCGGCTTTACGCATCATTGGTTCCCCTCTTTGTTTTAGATGGAGTTCTGGGCTGGATATACAGGTAAGACTTTGTTTGAAGAACGATTGAATTGGTTCTTTTGTTTTCATCATTTTGTTTCCTTACAACCGACAGAAGACTCTTTATCTTACTTTTGCATCATGTTTTGTCATTTCTAGTTCTGAAGCTAAAGAAGACTGAGCATTTTCTACCTCTACATTTTATTAAAAGGCCGTATGCTTCCATTGTGTAAACAGTTTGAAATGTTCTTGATGACTATGATGCAGTGTCAGATGTTCCCATTTCTCCAGATGCAAATCAGTGTGCGTCCACCCCGTGTGTGAACCAGGGCTCATGCAACGACCACCTCGGCTACTACACTTGTACCTGTGTGTCCGGCTTCACTGGCATGAACTGTGAGATCGGTGAGTGCGTGTCCTGTGGCTCAAAAAATAGAATGTGATCAAACAAAATTAGATTTCATTTGTTTTTGGCACCGTGAACCGAATGTGCTGACAGAATCGTTTCAGGAGGACAGCACCCTTTTTTCACCCGTCGAGTTTCTAAATCGAATCAGTACCCATATCTGGTTTTAGGTTTCAAAAACAAATGTGTTTGTTTACTCTGGAGGCAGCGGGCGGAGTGTCCTTGTTGTGAGCCGGGAACACAATGATATGGAATGTTTTTACTCGACAGAGTAGAAGATGCTCAGAATTTTTCTTTCTTCTGACCTTTAAGGGACTGACACTTCATTTTCTCCCAGTACAGAGCCCTTTTTCTCACAGGGATTGGAACTACTAACCCCTTCTACCGTTTGCATCGTGTTTGTACAGCTTGCTCTTTTGTTTGGGGTCAAATAACTCTGTAGTAGATGAGGGCAGTCACTGGCTCAGACTCCATTTGTAGGTAATAAACGCACCTGCTGGACACGGCCTGATTGAGTGAGCTACAAAAAAGAGCAAAGGCGTGAAATAAGTCTGGAAAAACTCAGTTACCTGCCACAGTGTTACTCACGGGGGCTATGAAACTCACGCGGCCATCACTCATCGCATAAACAGCTATGACAGACCCATTTGCCAGTCGGCAGAGCGGCTGATCACTCACCAGAAGTCCTGCTCCGCTGGCCGGAGGCCTGCACTCCAGTCAAAAATACTATTCTCATTCCTCTTTCAAAACATGTTTTTGAATCATTTTTGTCCACCAGCCAATAGTGAAAAACTATGAAACACTTAGAACATAAAGTCCTAGTTAATTGCATGAAAGAAGCTGCTAAAGGAGAGTTTAAGATTTTTGATTATATTGTATTATATTTAAAAGGCGTGTAAATTTGTATTAATCTTCGTGTAAAGAGTCTTGGGGGGGCATTCTATACAATACAATAACCTTATCTCAAGAAAAAAATTAAGCTCCAGAGTTTGCCAACCAAAATTGTAAGTTTGATTGGAAATAGAAGTAATAAAATTAGTACATAAATTAATTTCAATCACTAAACAGAATCCAAATTTTAAATCTAAAATATAGATGTTTGCTCATTGTTCTAAATTTGTGTGAAAGCAAAACTGAAGAGAACTTCCGTAGCATGCAAGGACATTTGTTCATGACGTGCTGTTAATTCATTCATTCATTTGAAACCTTTGTTGTCCTCAGCCATAGCAAAAAGATGTGATGTGAACAATGGAGATTGCATGCACATCTGTGAGCCAAGTCAAATCTATGGGGCGAAGTGTGTCTGCGCAACAGGATACAAGCTGCTGCCGGACGGCTTAAGCTGCGAAGCAGAAGGTCTGGACGACGGGTTCTCATTCAAACAATCATAATATTGACTTTTAATTATCATTTTACATTCAAAATCCATTTTCTCTCATCAACAGTTGAATTCCCATGTGGAAGAACTGCACTGACAACGAACAATGCTTTGAAAAGGTCCCTCTCCCACAATGAGAGCGCAATCCAAGAACCCAACGGCACATTAGCAACCAACAGGACCTCCACCACCCCCCCTCCTTCAACAGCAGCCGGGCCCACAGAGCAGGTTACCTCCACTGTCAGTAGATCTCGAAAGAGACTGCCTCTGTGGAAATTAAGAGAACTTGAAGTCCCCTCTGTGGAGTCCCATGAGAGTTTAAAACGCATCGTTGGTGGGAGCGAGATCGTTGCAGCTGAGATTCCCTGGCAGGTGATGTATCGAACACAAGAAAAACACAAATGGAATCCTTCCTGGTTGTATTAGGAGAGTTGTGCTGAACAACCTGTTTTCTTTCCCAGGTTGCACTGATAGCACATCCCAGTGGTCTTTTATTCTGTGGGGGCTCCATCCTCGGAGCGCGTTGGATTATTACCGCTGCACATTGCCTGGTGGACGCACAAAAATCCTTCTTCATCAGAGTGGGTAAGATTGACAGTTTTGCTGTTATAAAAAGGAGAGAAATGTTTTTGGTCATGTGATGTGTAGCTGACTGCTTTAACAGTAGCAATTTATTTTAGATAATATTTTGATGTGGTAAATCATACAAGTCTGGAATGAATATTTAATCAAGTGTTCTACAAAAAGGGTACATACTTCATTTTGGCTGTAAGATCTCTTTTAATGGGAAAGCAAAGATTAAGTGGGCTGTAAGGCTGAGGGGAATCCATTTCTGAGGTGGTTGAGTATTTTAGATTATTTTGTGATTTATAAATGATGCCAAAAAACTTGTAGAAATTGACAAAACGCTACTGTTGTGCGGTAGATTCATGAGTCTGAGTTCAACTTGATATATTCTTCTCTCAAACACATTAATTAGGGCCTTTCAAGCCCTTTTTTTCATGCTTTACCAATGTCTCTATCTTCAGGGGAGCATAACATCAACGTTAAAGAGAACACAGAGCAAGATTACGAGGTGCTGGAGCACCACGTCCACCCGCGCTACAACGCGAGTCTCAGCTTGTACAACCACGACATCGCCCTGCTCCAGCTGAAAAACCCCATTAACTTCTCCGCCAGCGTGCGGCCCATCTGCCTGGGACCCACGGCCTTCACCGAGGCCCTGGTGAAGGCCTGGTCCCCGGCCACGGTCAGCGGCTGGGGCCGCACGCGCTTCATGGGCCTCACGGCCGAGGCGCTGCAGAAGGTGGAGGTGCCCTTTGCTGACCGGACGGAGTGCAAGCGCAGCAGCAGCTCCAGGATCACCTCGTTCATGTTTTGCGCCGGGTACTACGACGAGAAAAAGGACGCCTGCCAGGGGGACAGCGGGGGGCCCCACGCCAACCGCATCCACGACACGTGGTTCCTGACGGGCATCGTGAGCTGGGGGGAGGAGTGTGCCAAACAAGGGAAATACGGAGTGTACACCCGGGTGTCTGTTTATTACCACTGGATCAATTATGTCATGGGCTTAAACAGACACAGGCTGGCTTCTGATGTGGAAGACCTCGAAGACTGATTTTGAACTAAAAATAATACTTTTGTACAAATAGAATGTGTTGTACAGCTCACCATTCTTGAGAACATACACACTGATTTTCTACTAAATGCTTGTTTGAAGACATCCACATGCACTACTCATATCTGAACATGAATAAAGGCTACAAAATCTGAAAGATTAAAAAAAAAAGAAAAAAAAGAGTGAGACTACTCCAAGCAGGGCGGCCTTACAGATGCCAATGTATTGAGAGAGCAAGTAGCTTGATATATAAAAGAAACAGGAAAAAAACCATAGGTGATACACAGTAGAATTCTAATTAATAGCTAAATATCAAAACTACGATAGGTCAAAAGTATTGTATGTGGGTATATTTTTTATTTTAAGATGTTTTAATCATTAAAAACATTGTTTTTATATGTATTAAACAGACAATTACAAACAAAAGCTCATTCAAGTTGTGGAAAATGCAGCGGTTGCTGCAAAACATACATTTAGTAAATGTTAAGAAGTGGTGAGCAAAGAACGAAAAAGGATGTTTTAAAAATCAAGGTTTCAAATGATAGGCAACCTAAAGCTTGGAAAAACTAAAAGTTTACACAAGGTCAGTATTCAAAGCTACTTTTACTGAAACAAGAATACAGCAATAACTGTCTAAAGGTGATTGTTTGGCAAAAGACTCAACAGTTTTCAGCCCAACATATATGCATATTCAAACATTTTTATTTTTCAGTTCTTTAAAAATGTGATATTGCAATAAATACCCTTCTTTCAAACATTTTTCCAACAAAATTAAAGCTGTACAAAACGGACTGCCTACAAATAAGAACTTGCTCATTTTCAGTTGCCATGCATTTTCATGGAAAGAAACAAGTTTAGGCTTTTCTTTTTTTGTTTTACCTTTCTAAATCTGTGCAAATTCTGCAGCATTTTGGATCAAAGCAACAAAAGAAGTATTTTTCCCATTGGTTTTGTCATATGAGCTAAAAGGATAAACAAAGGAGGTGGTGCAGTAAAGGCTTGCGGAGCTGCTGTAAATATATAGGGATGTCATTTCATTTAGGACTAAATAAACAAATAATTCACAATGACTGGAACAACATGACAGCAAAATAAATATATTACCAAATCATATAGAAGGTGCACAGCAGCCCTTGCTGCTTACTGACATCATTACCATATCAAACACAACATTTCAAAGACAGCCTCCGACCAGGGCTGCAATTTGATGTGGTAAATCATATAAGTCTGGAATTAATATTTAATCAAGTGTTCGACACAAAGGGTATATGCTTCATTTTGGCCGTAAGATCTCTTTTAATGGGAAAGCAAAGATTAACTGGGCTGTAAGGCTGAGGGGGAATCGGTTTCTGAGGTGGCTGAGTACACGCAGCATAGTTCTCTCTTAATCCGCCCGGCTCCTCCTGGTGTGCGTGGCGTGACTGACAGTTAGCTCGCACGACGATTTCAGGAAAATGACAGCATTTCACGCTCCGCAGCGACTCTCATATGTCTCTGAGGAATACACTGTCATCCACGTCTCCATCATGCTTCATCGTGTCTTGCAATGCAGTCACTTAGGTGTCAACTGCTGCCAGCTTGCTGGGGGGGGGGGGTAGATCTACCCCTGCCTCCCAAACACCACGCAGCCGGGAAGGAACAAAGCGGCACAGCAAGGATGAGGGCAAATACACAAGAGAGCAATAAAGCAGCAAGCGAAGAACACATTCAGGTGGATTTTCAGTTAACTTTGTACTTCCACCTTATTAAAGTGCCTGTTGAAGTTTTGAGAGCATCTGATTTTGCAAACAGTGAATAGAAGATACTCTACAAAAGCAGGAATAAAAAAGGCATAATGGCATGGCACGTTTTGGCATTTCTGACTGGACAGAAGAGTGCGCCTTAAGGAAAATGGAAAATGTCAAATAATTCCAAACAAATGAAACACTGAGATCTACTGAGTATCACAAAAGATACCGCTTACACAACAGTCTCTGTTTTAAAGAAACATTTCAGGCATATTTTAGTTTACCATCAGTCCAGCACAAAACTGGAAGGGACGCACACACACACACACACACACACACAAACACACACACACACGCTCAAACCTCAAGATTCAGCTTGAGCAGAGTCCACAGTTTGTGAAATAATGACTGCATATGTCGTGGATTCAGTGCCAGAGGGACCAAACAGTAATATACATGTCCGAAAAGAGGAAGACCGAACTGGATCCAGGGGGTTGGCTCATGATTGTCCAATAGGACAATGTGCTGGTGCCTTTCTGTCTAAAAGCATTCGGTCGGAAGATCATCGATGAAAGTCGAAGGAGAAAGCAAATCTGTGGATGTTCACATTTTTGTCTTTGATGTGCGAACAAAAGCAGGTGCACGGAGGAGTGGGGAGAAGCCCGCTGACAGGGATGAGATGTGGATGACTCAGTCCGCTCCTCCCGCCTGCTCATCAGTCACAGGTAAATATTAGATCCACGCTCTGCTTTCTTCTCTACGGGGAGCTCAGCTTCCTCACCTTCAGGTTGCCGGTATCTGCGAAAAAATAACACAGACTTCTAAAGAAAAAAATATCAAAGCGCAGTAATACCATGACTCGGCATTACCTTCAAGTCTGGGGGAGTTTTCTCGACTGCTGTCTCTTATGATCAGCCGCAGGCTGGCAGCAGCGATGAAGCCATCCTGCCCTCGACTCAGATTCTTCACCAGCCTGTCAGGGAGGATGTGGACACCAGGTTGGCACGGGGAAGGGGGGATATGTCACAGATAAATATCAGGTTGGCTGGATTGCACCGTTTTACTTTAAAAGCACACACAATGAGGATAATTAGGCTCTACGCAGCACAGCTCTTCCCGTGGAGTGTTTGTGGCTGATCACTACGTCAGACAGGGTGGGTTAACCGAAGATCAGAACTCACCAGCGCCCCCTGTTGTCTTCACATTGTAGTTGGACGACATCTCCACATTTGATGGTGATGCTGTCTGGTCCGTTTTGGGGAGCGTCGGCCATTGCCCTGTATCTGCCTGGAGACTAATACAGAGGGGACAAAAAGAGCGAGATGACTTCAGGTTTTTCTTCCAAATAAAAAAAGCTGTGAGAGCTTTTCAGCCATTCAGATGCACTCAGACTCACCAGAGGCACTGAAATGTCGTCCTCTGCATCAGATGGGTGGAAGGGGTCCCGGCCTCCAGACCACTCCTCCAGACCCTCGCAGATGTCTACCGAGTGATGAGCTCCGGGCCAACCTGGTACACAGGAATGGTGTTAAAGGGTGTTAAAGTACACATTTGCAAGAATACTTCACCTGGAAAATCCCAACGTAGATACTTAGTAACTATGTCGACATTAAAATGGCCCATTTATCACTTACTGGAAAAATAACAAGAACGAAGAATCAAAAGCTAATCTTAGAAGCTGGGCCTTTTTCCCCCAAAGTCCTCGATGTACCCGGTTCTTCAGATCAAAGTAAATCTGAACCGCTGAGGGTGAAAAGTCAAATATCTACATTAGTTTAGGATTATGAAGTAAATCAGCAGCAGCGGTGCAAAACAGTGAAAAATCAAATATGATTTGGATCACCGCCCTCTGTCATTTAGGTACTAAGTATCTACATGATTATGACACCGACGTCTGGACGGGGGGTCTACTCACTCCTACGGTTGTGCTGGTGCTTTGGGGAGTGCGGCTGGGGGTCTGGACTGCTCCTTCCTGATTCAGTGTCGTCTGAACTCACTGACGCTCTCTGCTGTTTGCTGGGAAAATAACACAAAACAAAAATCTGGTGTTTACAGGCCGTACAGTCAGCCCCTCTCTGGATAGACATTGTTCTCAGCCATAAAACCTGGGGTCAGTTCCTAAATAAGATTCATGAAGCGAGACCGTCCCCAAAACTACAGCCAAGAACAACTCTGTCCCAATGTTCCTCACGAAGCCACGACACCAAGCAGCAGCATAGAATGCTCGGCAGCCATTTGCAAGCCTCTCCACCCAAGTTGGATTTACAACTTACAGGTCTTTGACACAGTGTTCACAGAGAGATTGCATGTGTCAACATGGACATGACTGACTGAGATTATTATTTAGTGATCTGGTCCATCTGGTTGGTTACTGGATGTAAAAGTTTCTCTAAGACAAACTTTAATCAAAAGGATCCCATCGAACATAAAAAAGTAGAAAAAGCTGTCATGAGGGAATTAAGATTCATGGGATGAAACTAAATCTCTTCCTTTGTTTTCCTTTGACATTGCATGCAAAATAGCAAAATGTGAGATGCGGAAAACTAAATCCACATTCGAAAGCTATGGAGGAGCCGGGGGGTTGGGATCGGTTGAAAACCACGATGGAGGCCGTATAAAAAGAAATGGGTTGCAGCTGACGATCAGTATGCAAACACAGCAGCCTGGGAATATCGCTCCACATGCCATGGTGAGGCGAGCCAGGCTGAGTTTACCACTGAGCGCTACAGCAGGTCAGTGGCACTGGGAGCAATGGCGGGGACGCGGGGGCCGGGGCCGTTGCCGGGGGCTTCGGGGACGGGGGCTCCGGGTCCGCAGGCAGAGAAACACGTCCGCGGACAGTGAGACAAAGTCCAGCCCCGGCAGACAGCCCCTGGGAATCCCTCTGGATGGCCGCATTCCCCTGCAGGTAGGGGATGGGAGCAGTGGGGAAAGGCAACTACACAGCAGTGAACACGAACAGAGAGGGGGCCCGCGCCCACACACTGCCACGCACAAAGCCAAAAACCAAATGATAATCACATTCACCACAGCTTTGATCTCGTAGGAAAAAAATGCAAATGTGCCGGCTCTGTGACTGCATGTGTGGGGGGTTCTGCACAGGACTTTGTGTTCGTTTGTTTGTTTGTTTGCTTGTGTTATCGCAGCCTACAGTCATGCTAGTAACACAACCACTAAACACCGAGTTGTTACTGACCTCTCGGTGAGGGGAGGAGAAAGCTGCATGTATTCTGCCATTTGGCCTTGCTGATAAGCTTCATCTTTGGAGAGAGGAGGGACAGGATGTGGGTAAGGATACACTTTGTGAGCAACTGTCAGGCTGTCAAGAAGGAACTTCTGTTCTTATTTATCTTTATTTGTCCCCAGATTAAGCAGCGCACACACACACCTCTAAGCAGCTTCTGCTGATTGGTCAGAATTCTTCGAAGCTCATTGAGCCAAGCCATCTTCACCTCTACAGTAGGAGCCTGAGAGACAAAAGAAAACTAAACTACTAAACATAATATTTGTATAGTAAAAATAATTTTAAAAATATGGAAACAACTATCAAAATTCCCTTGCTGCTATATTTATAGCAGCTTAATCTTTAATGATTAAGCTGAGGTCAAAGGTCACTTTCTGAAATAAATGCATGATACTGTGTTAAAGATTCATACCTGAACCACATACACCTCCTCCCTTCCACTGTACCAGATTTCGAACTTCTTCACGTCTCCCTTGACGTTCTCTGTGATCCCCACGGCTGTCATCTGTCCGGAGATGAGCACACGACATTAGGACGAGCAACACAAACAGCACATCAGGGTTACATCATGCAAGACATCTGTCCGGTCTTTGCACAACAATGTTTGCGCACACCTCAGCTGTGCAACGGCTTCCTTCCCAAATCCTCAATAATAAATCAAGAGCTGCAGCTGCTGGGGCCACACCACATGTGACACCCCGAAAATTAACACAAACAACAACAGAGATGTCACAGAAACGCATGGGGTTCTGCCTCCGGCTGGGCAGCTTCAAGAAGTTGAAAGATGGTGACATGAATGATGACAGGATTTCAGAGTTGCCTGTAATTTGTTCCTTAAGAACATAAGAACCGATTACATTAGTGACAGTAAGACGGAAAACAGTGATACTCAGTGCTTAATACATCAGTTACTCAACTGAGAGAGATTTGTGGCCTAATGTCCCCTTATTTTATGATTTATATGAATACTGTTTACAAGAGGAAAGTTAAAAGCAGCAACCTAAACTGTTCATGTAAGAGGTACAGGAGCTTGGAGCATGTTATGTATGACAGCATTATGTCTGGGATGCCTTCAGAGACAGACATGTGTCTGACATTTGAGTGTTTTGCTGGCAAGAATGAAAACATGACAGACTGGAGGGAGCTGCCCAGTGGAAGGTTAAGTCAGAATAATGTTGGATTGGAGAAGAAAATAAAGCGTTCTGTTGATGTCTAAAAGACTGGGGGGGAAAAAAGACAAACAAGTCTGCATCTCCACAATGTGGCAACAAAACGAAGAACCACAGCTGGGGAAACTTTGTCTGGAACATGACAAGAAAAATCCCTTGTTATGCTGCCAGGGTTGGTCTCTGGGCACACAGACGGAGCAGAGGCGGCCTAGCACCATCCTGGTGTGTGCTTTTAACATAGTAGAATTAGAGCAACGAGGAGACTGGCAGTGTCTAACAAAGTGCTTTCCACTTTTCCTAAAGCCATACCTTTCCATTTTTCATACTCAGTCAAAACATGTAAAGCAATGTGCAGCGTACAATATTTCTAGCAGCCCAATAGCTGTTTTATTCATCTTAAACTTAAATAAAGATCCAGAACAACCTTGAGACAGTGCTTGAAGCTGTATGAAGGGGTCTTGTCGCTGCCCTCTCCGTGCTCCTCGCGTCGTTTGCACAGCAGCAGGGCTCTCTCATACAGGAAGAGGTGCCTCTGCATTGGCTTGAAGCGAGCCAGCTCCTTCATGCGCGTGGGGCCTCTTTTGTGGCTCATCCACACACTGAAGGAGCCCTGCATCAGCACACGGCCAAGCTCGCAGATGTCACCCTGCAGATCCCAAAGGAGGAATTCAGAGCATTTTAGAAAACGCTGATGGGTAAAAATTTTTTTAAATAAAACTGGATGAGAAAATAAACAGGAACAGGTTTCCTCACCTCATATCCTGTGATGGAAATCTGATGCATGGAGTCGTTGACTGATTTGAGCAGATCCAGCATGGCTGTCAGCGCACCCTGCAGCTCTGAGGTCCCCTCGCCATCGGTGCTGTATTTCAGTAGCTCCTGAAAACGCACAAAGGCAGCACATGCGGTGAGGAAGAAGACTAGAGTTGAGGCCGGTTTAATTGAAAACACAACACATGATCTAATTCTCCAACCTTCAGCAGCAGCTGGTATTTGGTGAGACGCTGGACCGGTTTCAGCAGGTAGGAATCCAGGCCCAGCTTGTGCTCTAGCTTTCTTTGGCACTCCTTCACACGGAAAGAAAATGATCCCGTAAAACTGCGCGCGCAAAACCACTACAAGACACTTACGTGTTGGGAGGCAAACATTTATTCCGATGTGAAGGAGGGCTTACCTGGAAGAAGCTGCAGTCTGAGAACTGTCTCCACAGAGCCTCCGAGCGCGGCTTATTCTGACAGTAGCACTCGTACATTTGGAAGCTTTCTTTCTGTGAAAGCAGGGCAGCGAGATCTCTTCTGAATATAGGCTCATGAATAATCTTCAAAAAGTCAAAGCATAGAGAGACTGCGTTATCATCTCACCCGCTGAAGAAAACATGCCCCCACACCTTCTGGAGCCTCGAGGCATCCTTCTAGGTCCTGGAGGAAAACCCTGAGTTCCAGTGAAAGCCCGTAAATTAGAATTAATTCATGGGCAGAGAAAGCTGAGAAAGCTGCAATGCACCCAGGTTTTTAGAGATAAAGTAACTCCAGATGAAACAGCTGCTTTCAGACAACCTATTTCTTTCAGGAAGAATTTAAATGGCTCTTAAAACAGCTAACTTAGGCCTTGAACTCAGCAGGTAGGAAACAACACTAAATAATGCAACAGTGTTGATTTTCCTCATTAATAGTGTATTTGTTTGGTCACCTAAGCTTTCAACAGGGGGTAGCTTTCAAGCTATTTTTGTATATGGTCAGATCAGCATCCAAGCTTTAGTAACTGATTACCCTATTCGTGGTTGTCCCTACTTTTACAACCTAAAGCTAATCTCTCTGACCAACAAACCTTGCAATGTGCTGCGATTAGTGTTTCTTTAAGTTCAAAGGGTCTCTACGGAGGCATTAATAACTTGCCTGCTGTGAAAATTGTAGATCTCAGGCATGTTTCCAAAGAGAATATTTCTCTTGCTGCGGAGCGTTGGAGGAAGGAGCCCCGACAGAACCGGATTGTCCATTTCAGCCCTGTAACCCTGCATTATTAATAGCCATGCGATATGATGTGTTATTATTCATTTATTAACTGATAAGATATGTAGTAGCAGGAGTAAATTAACAAAAAAATATCTAGGTGACAGCAAACACATACTCACAGTTTTAAAATGTTCCTATGAACCTATTAATCAATAATTTGTTTGGATTTTCATACCAGCAGGACAGACAGCAGCTCCTCCACATAGATCCTTTCAGTCTCTATGAGTTCTCTCATTACATGACTGTGACGCAGACATGCAGACAAACACAGACAGACACAAAAGGGAGCCAGAAGGCATCATTTGCACTGAGCAAAAAAAAAGAATCACAGAGTAAACCACATCAGAAGCAGTTGTGAGGACAAACAGATGGCTGGACGACTGCGTCCCCCTTACCGCTTCAAAAGATCTGGGCTGTCATCTCCATCCAGAGTGTAGGACACAAAGCTCCGGCTTTCCTGGTAGTCATGCATCACCTCGATCTGAAAACACCACGGTGGGTCAAGAGAGGCATCGAATCGAGCTAAATGAAGACGAAGAAACACAAACTTTAGACACTTACTTTTCTGGCGTTAGGACTTTTTCGAGACGCTCTCTTTCCAGGAAGAGAAAGATCGAAAGTAAACTTCAAACCGTCACCTGTGAAAGCCAGATCATCACGATCAGCAGCAGCAGTGGCTCATGAAAGAGCAGATTTCACATGCAGAGCGTGTTTCCATTTTCTGTGGGGAGGCGCGCTGAATAAAGGACTCATCTGAATACCCACATCTCATCTGGCACAATTACTTTTCCATGACCTTGAGTTTAAGCAATCTATCCTCCCTCACTGGTTTTTCTTGTCTTTTTGAATTCTCATTCCTTTAGAAAATTATAAATCAGTCTTGATGGATAGTATTAGTAATCAGTAGTAATGGGTTTGTAACGAAGGAGCAGTATTTGGTAGATTAGAGTCAAACTAAATTTTTTTTTTTGTTTCAATTCTTTGTTTTTTTCTTTGCTGTTACATTCTACGCAAATTAAAGGCACGTTTGAGATGTATGTAACCATATACAAGATCAGAAAAGGTTACCACTGACTGATGACTGCTCTTCCAATTATCAAAAGAGCCTTGAGGGGTTCATAGTAATTCTCTCTTCCTACTTCTTATTTTCTCACAATTATAATTCATTTATATCAAGAACAAAACAAAAAAATTTATGTAAATATGTCTTTAAAAAAGAGCTGACAATGATACATTCAATGGATGACGGTATGTTCAGTAGAAAACTAACAGAACAGATAACGCATACTTTTTAATTGGATACAACCATATATACACCCTAGCTTTGCACAGCCTCCCTTGTGGCGCAGAGATAGATAAAAAAAAGAAGTTCTCTAATTTATACGAACCACACAAAGTTCTATTGCAGCTATTGTTGAGTAGTCAGATTTCTCCCAGTGGACCGACTGAACCACCGGCCCTTGTTCTAACGCATTTTGCTATGCTGGCACACAAACCCCAAAGGCCGTTCAGGCAATCTTTGGAGCTACAAAGTTGGTCCCTATGATGTGGTAATTTAATCACATAGCCCAAAGGAAATATATACGAGGGGGAGTGGGGCACAAGCCATGATAAAGGGGGTGGGACGAGGCGATGCGCTAGACCTGGAAAACAGAGGCAGGGGGGTAGCAAGAGAGATCTGACACTGTGTGTGCTGCAAGTCTCTGCAGATAACCAGAAGCAGGTGCTGTTTCATCTAATGTGACAAAGATTAGGTTTTTGCACACATGAGACGAATACCTCTCTCAACATGATTCTGCTCAATAAGACACGTGTGTGCGGCCATACTATGCTTTGGAGAGAAGAGTGGGGACTTCGAGCGTGGTGGGTTTTCGGGTCTGGGAGCCACCAGCTGGATGGGTCTCACGTGTTTGTCAGCCAGCTTCTTTAGACTGGTCTGCCTGCTCTGGATCATCTGCTGCACTGCCGTGTGCTTTTCAAACATCTTCTCGATCTCAGCCTGGAGAGACAAAGGAGAGCAGAAGAGGAAAACGTTGGCATACAAATGCTTGCCGATTCGCATAACGATGTGAAAGCCACGGTGATTCCATCAGATGCTGTGAACATGGAGGATTAAAGATGTGTTATGTCACCTGCAGCTGAGGCGTGATGACCGACTCATACTCAATGGCCAAAATATCAAGACCCGAGGTCAGCATGGATGGTGTCTCCTCCAAAAACTTCTCAATGTCCCTCAAGGCTGCCTGAGCCCCCTCTTTTGACTGGAATTTATCTGCCAGCTGATTGGCCAACATGTATGCTCCATTATCACACCAAGCTTGGGCCTGAGACATCAGAGAGCACACGGGCATCAGACACATACACTTTGCAAGTGACTGTGATCGACAGTAAAGAGATACGTATGTCCGATTACCTGCTCGAGACAAAGAAACAGCCGGTGCGTCTGCAGGAGGAGCGCGTGCTTCGTCTTTAGAGCAGCAGAGAGCGTATCACAGTGGTGGCGCAGCTCATTGCAGCGCTGCATAATGAGGGCCATGGCGTAGTGGTGACCAGCCGATAGCTGATGACCATGGAGGATGATGATCTGGGCTCGAGCCATCACCTCCTGGCAGCCAACAAAAAAAAATAAAGGACCAGGGAGTCAGTTTTCTGTCCATGTTGTCCTCACAGTTATCAAAAACATAGAGGAACCTTGCTTTACTAGTGACAACAGCTCATGCGTTTCAGCCGGTAAGTCTGCATTCAGAGAGCCACTGACCTGTGCATTAGATTCCAGGCTGTCCAGCCTTTTGAGAGCCTGCTCTGTCTCAGCAAGCGTGTTCACATTTATGCTCAATTCTTTCTCCTGACACATGAGATGCTCCAGACACAAGTCCATCTAAACAAGGACGCATGCCATTTATTACAACCACATAAACCCATTTGAGCACTTTCCAACATGAGCACATAGATCCATCAGCTGCATCTCTAGCCTGCTTATCCCTTTGAAACTTGTAAATTCAGATATATTTTCTTTTAAGTACTCAGTTTTCAAGACACATGACCTAAACCAAATTGCTAAATTCTTATGTTGTTTTTATCGTGATCCAGGTTATAATTCCAATATGAAGCAGTACAGCTTGATTAGGGGCAAAGTTCACATGTTTCAGATCAGGGAAGGGATTGTGGCGGTGTTTAACATTGCTGTGATCAAACACAAGTCAAAGCAAATAACTGTCTAAACAGGCTTTCATTCAAAATGTTAGCTAATTTAGTCTTTAATCTAATTAAAAATAATATTTCATTCTATTTTTAGTTGCATAATTTATTCTATGTTTTTATTCGATGATTTCTTAGTTTATATTCTACTGTTTGTGTGTGTGTTTAGATGTGAGAAACAGAGAGAAAAAAAAGAGACTGACACAAAGTGCCTTTTATGGCCTATTTCTGTTGTTATTTCTGTAAAGCACTTTGAGCAAAAAAAACTATAAAAAGCGCTATTTAAAGTCTAACTGAGTGATCTCTCCACATGTCGCAAATTAGAAAAAGGTAACCTCTCTGGGGAATATAAGCAGCAGATGTTGAAGTGCGTAGAATCCTGACCTCCTGAAAGCTTTGCTCATATCTGAGCAACTGAAGGTACTGATGGAGCTTTAGGTGATGCTTCTCAAAGAAGCCATCGAAGGCTGACTCCATGTCTCTGAGCTGTGCAAGAAGTCTAAAAGAAAAAACGTCGACGTAAATTTAATTTGCTGTGCCTTTAAAATGCTCTGTAAAGTTGTAGGGGCGATCGGTAAGAGGCAGTCTCTAGATTACCTCTGCACAGTCTCCCAGTCAAGCTTCACATCCCATTGAGAAACATCTTCCTTCTCAGACGTCTCAAGGCTGGAGAGAAGATGGCGGCCCTCCTTTGAAACTGACCTGATTGCATCCTTTAAGAGAAAAGATAATGACCATACAATGCTGATATTGGCAAATGCATGGTGAATGAAGCCTCACCTTGAGCTTTCTGTACTTTTCTGTGTGAGCCTCCAGGAGACGCTCAATGGCCTTTCCCTCGTCAGGCAGCTCCGTCTCTGCCAGCTCTGAGCCAAAGCTCTGCAGCATCTGAGCAATGTCTTTGACTGTTACTGCAAAACTTTCAATTGCCTACGGTGGAAATTCCAAAACAAAAAAAACAGACAATCGTGACACTCTGCTGGCAAAAACATAAAAGTTAAAACTCTTGAAAATGCTTAATATCAAACAGGAGCTTTATAAAACTATCACAAAAAATGTTGCCAGTCTAGAATGTAACAGGTTTAACAGTGAAATGGTGAAACTTATGGTTTCACTCCAGCTTCTGAAAGATTCTGCTTACCGTTCGTAAAACGATCCAGTCACTGTGACAGTAGTCTAAAGTTCCTCCAAACTCTGATGTCAGCTGGTTCTCGTCAATGTAGCGCAGAAGGTCCGTGACAGAGCTCAGCATCACCACCTACAGATTCACACAAACCTGAGATCTCACAAAAAAACGTGGCACTTTACCATGACCTTCCCTTGACACCTGGTTCCAATTAAAGGAAAACTGAAAAAATTCCAGCCATCTACATATGAATGTAACATACGTAGACGACAGAGTGGAGGATGAAGCTATAGCTGCCATAGCTTTGGAAAAGTCAAGATTTTTTTAAAAAACAACCTAAAGCTGAAATTGACATGTGTTTTTTTTATCCTGTTTACCACAAAATGTTTGAGTCATGGAGCGCCGGTTTACAACAAGAATAAGTTGTACCTTGTCATGATGTGAGACATATTTGGTAAACGAGGAGGAGCTGCCTTACTGGCATCTTAAGCATGAAGTCGTCTTGGCTAAAGCGGAAACCGATATCTGTAACAGTACGGTGGAAGAAGCTGGTGGGTCGGAGCACCAAAACCAGGTGAAGGTTCCCGGGAAAGGAAGCCTGGATGAGGGAGAAGACGTCCACTGTTATACTGACCGTTCAGACACATGCGGCTTCAGAATGAGAGACGAATAAGGAAGTTTTCACTTCATTATCACTGCACAGTGGCACGAGAAGAGATGAGTTGTGAGTGGGGGAAAAGGGGACATTAACAAGCTTTTATCCTCATGATCTGACAGGAGAGAGTTCAGCTTACTGCTGCTCTGTCACTCTTGTGATTACTCTTGTGTCGGCCTAATGGATTGAAGGTCCAGTGGCTCCATTCGACATTCATCATAAGGTGAATTGGGAGCTTCAGGCAGTTTAATGTCATCGTCTGACATTGAAAAGATTTTCCCTCAGCTTGTCGGTAAACTGGTGACAGGAGCTGTAAATGGCTACAATGGAAAATCCTGCCATCTGTACCCCCCAAAAAGAAAAGGAATTGGATTAACATAGCTCATATTCAGACCTCAGTATCTTCAGCATTGCATCATGCATCCTTTACTGATGCAAACACCAATGCCCTGCAGTTTGTTTGCATCCTTCTTTAAAGGCCAACGTGCATTTTGCTGATTGCACGTGACGCAATATGACATTCGTTTCTCCCCTCTCGAATTTCGTGCGGAGAACTAACCCGAAAAGTCTTCAACGCAACGTGGGGTTTTTGCTGGAGACGCGCAGCCCGGTTGCGTGACTAAGCGAAAGCGCGCGCCGTGCACCGCAGTGCTGCGCGCGCCATGCAGCCGGTGCCGGTGCCGCAGTCCGCCCCCCAAAAAAACTTCAACCCCAAACTCCCTCACACCACCAGTCAAACCGGGAACAGGCTGCTCGTTACCGGGCTCCTCCGGATCTTCGGCATTCCTCTGTGGGGGAAGCAATCGCTCATGGTGTCAGAAGCCATCGCGATGAGGCAGAAGTTTCCATCCGATCACTGAGAGCCGGTGTGCCAAGCCTCCCCCCCCCCACACCCACACCCCCCCACCCCCGCCGGCTGTCGACATCCGCAGCGCTGCTGCCGCCTGCTGCCTCTCTGATGGAGGGTGGCAGCGCCCACTGCAATCTCTCCCCTCCCGCCAGCCCTCCTCCTCCTCCTCCTCCTCCTCCTCCTCCTCCTCCTCATCCTCTCCTCTCTCCAGCATCCCGCGTCATCGAGCATTTCTGCTGACTCAGGCTTTTGCAGCAGCGTCGGACACCCAGTAAGGACACATTGTACATGCTGTCCCACTCAAAACTCAAACAGTGTGTGCGTGTGTGTGTGCGTGTGTGTGTATGTGTGTGTGTGTGTGTTTTCCTGTGGCTGCCCTCCTGGTGAACCTTTGGTTTGGTCAGATCCATAGACTCTACACCTCACAGATCATGAAGACCCGCTCTGCCGTGCATGTTCTCCAATGTTGTCATTATTTTGTTATTAAAAGAATACATAGAAAACTTACAGCTATCCTGGCAAGTGCAGTTTTGATAGATGTCCACGTATCGAGTCTTCTGTCTAAAATGATGATAAATTTGACTCCTGGTTGCCTCGTTCTGAGATAAACAACAGGTATTTTCGTTAATTGCAATGATGGTGCTTGAATATTGAGATTTTTTGTTCTTTGCCAAGATAAATCCATATAGACTTGATTAATTATTCATCACATTAACCATATGGCATTAATATACTTTTTGAAATCTACATAAGACTTCATTTGTTCCTTTTCATGTCAAATTCACCAGATCCAAATCAAGCTTTCCTCCCATGAGAGGATGGGATTTAGACATAGAGGACATCCATATGATACTTGATCCTAACCAGCTCTGCTTGGAATACAATCTTTTGGTGCACTGCAGAAAGGGAGAGACTTTGGGAGGAATAAATGAGGAAGGACACACCGAGGAATGAGAGTGAGGTATGTAAAGACTTTGGCTAAAGCTTCTTCTGGAATGTCACTGAAGGCTGAGCACTCTGGGAGGGTGATGATGACACTAGAGTCTTCCCCACGCCCACCTAGGACCAAAACACAAGATAAGAATATCACAGCGAAGCTTCCCTCGACAAACGGAGGATGCATACGTGTGAGGGACATTATTTCCCGTTGAATTACCTGATAGGTAGGCCACCTGTTTCTCTATATAGCCTCCCACCTCCTTCATGCTCACAGGAACAGTCACCTCTGGAAGACAAAGCGGCCATTTTTACAAGAATATCAAGGCAGCTTGTGTGACATTAACAGCAGGGCATTTCAGAAATGTCACCAATGACATCACTGAGAAATCACGGTGCCCCATAAGGTACTAATGTTTTGTAGACAAAAATTAGGGTTTAATTTCTCTACTCATAAATACAGCTCTCAGAGGGGTACTCAGAAAGGTTCTGGAATCAAAGGGAGAAATGGATGATCTAAAGTATTAATAGATGTGTGTTAGTGTGGGGTTTGCTCCTTTAAACGAGCTCATTTCACAGATTGAATCTCAGCTGTCATCTCTGTGACTGCTTGAATGATCCTCCTCTGCCTTTAAGGGTTTTTTGTTTTTTTCTGGGTAATCTGGCTGCCTCTTAGCCCCGGCCTCCTCCCACAACGCAATACACACAAATGAGTGTGTCTAAGCTGACTGGAGGTGTGATGACATGTTACCATTTTGACGCTGGGGGTGGAGAATTATTCTTTTCGTGTCACATACAAGAAGGCACAGAGCTATTCTCGCTTTCAACTTAGGGGGCTTTTATCCTGCTGGGTTACATCTCAGAACGACAAAGGCTTTGGATCTTTCTGGGACCATATCTGCTTGTTGATTTGCAGTAAACTTGGTCGGGTGGTGTGTGTGTGTGTGCGGATCAAACCACATACAGATTTAGTGCTCGGAAAAAATAACATAGGGAAAAAAAGATGAGATGTAGTAAAACGAATTGACTAAAAGTTAAGGATGTGTATGAGGATGTTATTAAGCTTGACAAACTAAAGAGGAGCAATAGAGGAGATGTCTTCTATGACAGGACTGTGTGTGTTAGGGAGTGAGTAATGAGCTGCGCTGGTACCTGTTGAATATTTGATGTGTGTGTGTAACAGAGAGAGGCCCGGCCTCAGCAGCACCAGTGGCTGATACAGTTACTGTCACTCTTGAATAGCTATACGATCATTAATGTATGGAGGCATTCAGGAGGCCTGGACACAACCTGAATTAATACAGGTAATCTGATGTACTTCAGCTGAACTAACTGTGCTGTCTAAAGGTGTTATCCTACACTAGCCCGGCCTTTATGTCTTCATGCAAGTGTGAAAAAATTGTTTGTACCATCATGAACTGGCAGTTTTTTCTTTTACTGGAGTTTGACACTGAAGTTCTCTATCGGACGTGAGTAAACACATCCCATGACAGGCCGTCTCTGATGTGTCACGTGGCACCCATTCAGAAGAAAGACATTAGGCACAACATAAATAGAAAACTTTCACGTGCATAGATTGTGCTTTTTATGCTCCATCTCTTTAAGGAAATGTTTGAACACTTGTCATGACCTCCGCAGCTCACACGCAGGACAGTGTGTGCAGGTGAAACTCAAATAAGCTTTGTTTGCTTTTCTGTTCTTTTGCACATGGAAAGAGCAATGTTTGCCAGTGTGGACGGAAACAGAGATTTGGCTCAGACCAATCCCTTTGGTCTGCTTACAAAGCTGAAGGCAGGAAGCTTATCTCTGTTGTCCAAACAGTGATCAACATCAATGCTGATTTTGCAACCCCTAAATAACGAGAAATATTTACAACATCATATTTCAGTTCCTTGACAACACTAGCGGTCACCTATTTTCCTTTTTTGTCAATGATCAATGAGGGGAATTGTGTGATTTCTTATCATAACTTGGATGAAACTGCCATGTGTGGTCTGCCAGTTAGAATATTTGTTCCCAAATCAGCAAGCTGACGGAACAGCACCACACCACGTGGACATTGTCAAATAAATGTTGGTGAATCACGCAGTATGCAAATGAAAAGAGTGGTTTAAATGTGCAGTTAGGAGTGTGCAACCTGATAAATGCAGGATATCATTGACATCCAAAAAGCAGACATGTAATCCCATGCAGGCTCCCTTTACACACGCAAGCATGTTCGGAAAACACACAGACTGAGTCTCACATTGCTTTTAGGACATGCAGTCTTTGCCAGATGAAGCTTTAAATGCTTAGAGGGATTAGACTGGTGGGTGGTGGGATTCTAGTCAAAAACAGTGAAAGAAATTTGGGTTTTCCAGCCACAGGGATGAATTGAAGCTAAATTGGTTTGAGATAAAAAAGGCCAGAATTGTAAACCCTGCACAACAGCATCACATGGCTTTGGCAAGGCAACTGATGATTTTAATTTTCCCTTGCAAGGACATGGCTTCCGTGCCAAATATCTTGGGGTGTTTTTGTAAGAATTTGTGACACGGAAACTGTTTTTAAGCTTTTCTTTGCAAGATATTTGCACTAAAATATTAAACCTAGGGCATGAGCTGGGAGTGTGTTTAAGTAGTGCGTATTGCTTTTCCTGTGCTGTGAGCCTTTTTAATTGTTAAGTGATTTACCACAACTCTTGCCTTTTATGAGATCTTTATTTTTGCAGAAAAGTCTCAATTTTCTAAATGCAATATGCAGGCTGGCTGGCTGGAAATTGCAGTCCGTGCTTTGGCACTTAAAGCCGTTTGTGTGTCAGCTGAAGCCGAAACCATAAAAGGGTGTGTAATGTTGGACAAAGTTTAGGCTCCGATAGCATTTTAAAAGACTTTTACATTAACAGTGGGAGTGTATTTTCATCCAGGGTGTCGTTTAGCAACAGAGCGAAGGGGTTTGGTGTCCTGAGTCTAGTCTGAAATTCATTCAGGTGCTCCAATTCTTTAAACGGAGAAGACAAAAACACTTCTTAAAGGCAAATTGAAGCAGGGAAATTTATCTGAAATGAGTTCTGAATTGGAGAAAAGCACTTTTTATCATAACACAACTGACAGGAATGCGGTTACTGCTACAGCCGTTTATGCTTATGTATGTTCACCACTGCATCGTCTGTAAGAAGATTAGGATAAACCAGGAGTGCAAGGTTCAACATCTCAAACCGAGGCTAGCTTTTTTTCCTGTTGTCTTTGGCCTGGATACTCAAAATCTGTTCAAATGGACTGCAGAGATAAAAAAGACAAAGGCCCATTAATTAATACCTCGAGGGTGCCAAGATTCTGTGTGACCACAGTGCTGTCTGGGGAATGTTGCATGCTCCCATCAGCCACATCCGGTGCTATTTGTGTCCGTCTCCTTACCTATTTTTTTTATGAAGCCGGAAATGATGGCTGTGAAATAATATCTGTATGAACATAACAGTTCTCCATCGTTTGGTGGATTGATGTCTTTAGTACATTTAGAACATTAATCTGTCGCTGGATTACACATACACCAAGCGGCAGGTCATTTGGGCTCATCGCTCAATGTATAGAAACAGCCATTTGCAGCTTTAATACATTTTAAACCCTGCTGTCTCCCGTGTTGATTTATTGGATGGGGAAAAGAACGTATGTGTGTGCATCTAAATGATCTACAGCCCTCAGTGCACATGTAGTGAGATTGAACGTTATTACTATGGACAAAAATCTATCCATCTGTGGCTTAAAATAGCTGACATAATCCCTGCAACAGCACGCTGCCGGAGCAAAGCTGCAGGAACTGGCACATCAATAATAGTGACAACCCTAAGGTGCAGCTCTCCAGTTACTTCCAGTAGTGGCTCTTAAAGTTCAATCAAACTAAACAAAGCTGCCTCGGTACAGGTCGGACTGCAGTGTGTCAAGAACAGCGTTACAATATGAAGTAGAGGGAAAAACGGCGTGTGACAAGGCTAAGGATTGCACAGAAAAGCCTAAAATTGGCTAACATTAGGGGAAAAAAAAGAGGTCAGCGGTGTATTACTCACGCAGCAGGGTGTTCTCCAACTGGGAGCCTGCCTGCATGAGGCAGCTGTAGCCCTCCATCTCCTCTTTGGACTTCTTGCCCAGCTCCCTCTCCTCCTGCAGCGAGGCTGGGCCCATTCCCTCCGTCTCTAGCACACGATCAGGCTGGGGAACCAGTAGTGGTGGGAGGCATTGACCGTAGCCCCAGTCCTCACATCCTCTCCAGAGTCGTACGGCCCTCCATGGCTGACGCGGGCCTACACCATGGAAAGTCCACGTGCCTCTGCAGGTCCCCGGTTGCAGAAGGGACTCTTCCCTGAGGCTGCTGCTGGCTCTTCCTGACCTTGATCCGCATAGAGTGCCTCCACACTGAGCCCAGAAGCTACAACATAGCAGAAGAGCCGTCCTCAGAGGCAGAAATCAGTAGTTTGTTGACCCATTGTTGCCAGGACTGAGAGCAGTGTTGTTTTACTTCCCCCCCTTTAACACACACCAGCGCCAGTCTGTCCTGCTCTCAGCAGCAGTCAGCTACTTCAAAACAAACACAGCTCCATCTGGCCACTGCTGTCTGCTTCCCCTCCCCTCTCGGAGCTTTAGTGCGTCAGCTCTGCACCGCTCAGAGCTCAAGAGTCCGCTGCTGACACACAGCCAACTCCCTCCCTACTTTTCCTCTCGCATCACACTTCTTCATGCCTCTTTGGCTTTTTTATGATCTCTCTGCACGAAGGCTGAACTGCCAAGCTGCTGTACCAGCCACCCCCCCACCCCCCTTTACTATAGCATAGACAGACAGACAGTCGGGAGGACAGATCTATTCTTCATTCGAAATTTTTTAAAAGTGACTCCCCCTGCCAGCAAGTTTGACCCCTTAATACACATCACATTCAAACCACACAACAAATATGAAAGGGTGTCATTGTGTACATAATGTGACACAGAGCCCTTCTCAGCTGAAGTTCCCACTGTTCAACCCACAACTCCTCTGAATAGGCCAGCACTCAGCAACTCTATACAAACTGGAGTTGGGAGAATGGGGTTTGTGTATGCGTTAGAAAATCTTCTCTGTGCTGAGACTCGGTGTTTGACTTACTTTATTGGCGGCCACACATGAAGCGGAGTGAGAGCAGCCGCGCCGCTTCCCCGATACACAGCCACTCAGCTGATCCAGCTTAGCCTCTCAGCCATCTCATTACTGCACAGCATCTGCTTAGTGTGGTTGCATGGTCATGCATGCCCGCGCGCACACACACACACAGACACACACAGCCACCCACACACTCACAGATCTTTACATCAGACACAGTCTCAGTCTGCTGACACAACTCTTGGAGCAACAAATCACAAGGCAGCTTGGGTTTTTTTTTTTATCTTCAAAACATTCTGCTTTATTACAGAAAATCTTCAGATTTTGAATATACTAGTTTCAAAGAGGTACATTCAGCTTGGAGGTTTGGAGTGTTGAAGCTGGAGACTCAAAAGGCTGAAGTTGGCAAGATGTGCCTGCCTGAGGTGCCTGAGGGTGTTCACCTCCACAGACAGGTCCACAACCAGAGAGCCTCTTGCTTTATCCCACCCCCCATACTTAAATCTTTTTTCATATATATATATATATAGAAAAGTGGCTGGAAAAAGTTGCATTAAAAATACAATCAATTCATTTTAACGCTTCATTTAGACAGGCAAAACATTAGATTCAAACATATTTTAAGCTTTGAAAATAGCATTTCTGATTTCACATAAGAATTTTATTTGTTAACAAAGCGGGCAGCCCCTCATGACCTATAGTATATCTGACACGCCTTCACCTGGAGGTGACATGTTAGGGCAGAAACCCAACCCCCTTCTCTACAGTAATTACTTTTACTTGAAGTAATGCAAAAGCATATATGTTTATTATTACATATAAAGTATAGTAACATGAATATATTTGTCAGTGTGTGGATTTACTGTCTTGGATCCATCAAGTTGGAGTAAAAAGTAGAAGAACAGAAATGAGTGATGATCATAGTTACAATGACCTATGAAAATCCCCCAACTGACATTATTAATAATCAGCTTGAACTCTGGAGTTAAACCATCTGACAAACAAAAGTGAAAGGGGCTCTTTTTGGAGTGTGTCGGGAAGGGGCTGCCTGTCTTTGTACATACAGCAAAGACTTATCAAATGGGATTTGAGCGGGCTCACATCAAGGTTGGAGCTTAACAAGCTAAACTGAACTGACACCAAGCTTAACCTTCTGCACCATAAAAACGATCCATGTAATAAAAATATAACATTTGTGAGTAAAATCACACTTAACAATAAATACATAGTAGATCAAATATGCTTGTGGGGAGAAAAAAACAGAATGAAAACATTGTTCAAGAGAGTATCTAAAAGAGTGAGAAATCAGGTTATGTTTAAATGGAATGTATGAAGCACTACACATAAGTTAAAGAAGAAAGAAAAGGGCCAAACAGTCCACGCTGTCAACCTGCTGGTCAGCAGATCTGACCAGAAACAGAGATGAGTCTCACAGTGGCTTCAACTATGTTGATTCTGCAGATCTGGAGTTGGTTTTTCTTTAAGTTCATACTTTAACCTTTGACAAAAGATAGGGACACTAGATGACGACTATGAACACCCCATTTAGGCGTTAGTGCATGTGTACCAAGTGTGTGGGTTACTGATTGTGTCATATCGTCTCCTCTAGCGAATATGTGCATGTGTGTTCTGGCTTATATTGATGAGCCTTGGTGATCATACCCATAATGAAGAAACCAATTATATTCATAGTGCAGGACTACATCAAAGTTCAAGTAAATCTGGTCTCCATTACACACAGGCATTTCTGGCTATTCCCATCCAGTACATTTACACACACATCTATGCAACACGCACACACTAACAGGCCTGCAACTTTCAGCTCACACTTGAGTGGATGCAATCAGATCACACCTCACTCATCTTTTTTGGCTTAGAGCAGATGCTAAAATACATCTTGAAGCTATATACAAGTACAGCACATATATTAATTTTCTTATCATATACTGGACTCTGACTTAAATTACCGCTGAGGTTTGGAAGATTTAGGTCAAGCTCCAAGTAGCATTTTACTGCTGGAATATACTTAAAGTCTCTAATCTGTCGCTCAGTTTTACACAAACACACACAAGCACACTTTTTGGATTGACTGGTAATATGGCCTCCATTCATTGCTCTTACACCTTCGCACTTCATATAGTTTAAGAGAACACAAACATCTGTAAACCAGAGAACTGCGTTAACAGTCTGTAGGCTGAGAAGAGCTTACAGAAATCCCATTCGGTAACCTTTCACCTCGGACGATGCTGATCTATAGATTCAAACTGATATGCTCTTAAAAATATTTAATAATCGTTCGAAAAGAAAACACAGAAAATGTGAAGAAGAACAACCTCAAAGAATAGCGGTTGATAGGAAAATAAAAAGGTTTTCGGAATACAGTGACTGAACATCAGTGGAGTTCGGTGTTCTTTTGAGCCTTCTCTCATGCAGACTTGGAATTTTTGGGGTGGACGTTTGAAACTGCTTCTTAAAACAAGGGCGCTGTAAATAGCTACTGATTAGGCAGCCATGTACGCATTCATTAAGCTTATCATTTAAAAAAGTGAAAGAAAAGAAACTCATGCCTTCCATTTGAGTACATATCTTAGAAAACAATGCAGGGCGCTGCTCTGCAGACATGCGTAGGGTGGGCAGAAAAGGACGGATAAGAAACACTAAAGTCAAATGACTTCTAAATCCCCACCCGCCGACCTGCAAAGCACTTTCCTCGTCCTATCCACCGCCTTTTAGATGACTCTGACAAGAACCCTGAATGAGGCCGATGCCGCTGTTGAGTCCGGGCTGCCTCTTTACTGACGCTCCTTCAGGTGCTTGTAGGATAATGGTGTGACAGCTGCAATCTGAAAACAGCACAAGTGGGCAGACTTTAATTCATGCTGTCATGGAGAGCTGGTACTGACTAGGAGGACAACACACCCCGCAATCATTTCAAATCAGAGGACAAACAGTGATTGGTCACGCAGCACTGCCCACAAAGACAAGATCAATTAAAGCGTCCCCACCACCACCTTCAATTAACAAACATTAGTAAAGATTTCATCCAAGGCAACTGATCTGTCAAAGCTCAGCAGGCTTGTTGACCCAGTGTTAGCACCATCTCCTTAAGGTTTACCTGGATGTTTGTAGGAGGTCACCCTCTGACAGCTACAGGGAGAGTAGAAAGTCACGTTAAAAAGTGAAAGCTGCTGCAAAAAGCCCGGTGCTACGGTTAGGCAGTCGATGACCTTTGTGCACAGTGAGTGTAAATGGTGACCATTCTCCACAGAAGGCAGACAAAAAAATACCCAAAGTAACCTGCTGACATGATTTCCTTGTTTTTTTTTTTTCTGTCTGGAGTATTTTTGACACAACTTTAATAGAACACCAGTTGGGACTGAGTAAAATCTGAAAAAAAAGTTTGAATGGAAGGATTTGGAAATCAAAAGCGCTGGAAATGAGACATTTCACAAATTCATGCAAGGAAATCTATCTCATCTCAATGTCAAGATGACATGAAACGTGTTCATCTGGCGGCTAGACTCTTCTATTATGAAGAGGGCATGGTATTGTTTCTCTGGAATAAGCGAAGCCGAGGGCGCCACCTAGATGAGAGGATATGTGGCTTTAAAACCTGTACAGATATTTTGGCACTTATGGTTGTTTTCCAAATGTTTAAGCTGGTTCCGCAGGCACTGACAAGCATCCCAACCAGCAAACTATACAGACAAAGATTTCTGGAGATGGTTCTGAACCATGCACTGAATTCCTTTAATCATGTCTTTGTTATGGCGGAAAACATTCAGAGGGTGATTTTTTTCTGTTACTGAGCCATCATTACTTCAGAGACTCTGCCTCTCTAAGGTGTTCCTTTCATTCTAAATCTGACCTGTTTCCAATTAAGCTAACCGAAGATGAGCTAATAATTGTCATGAAACAGTAAAATGTCTTACATTCAGCATTTATATGACTTCTGTGTTCAATGTTGTCAACAAAATTATAGCTTATTACATTTTTTTCTGATTTTATACAAGGACCCAACTTTTGTAGCACATATATCTAAATTTCTTTTTTTTTTTATTGTTTTATTTAGTGATTTTATTGTCTGTCCCCTGTAATGCAGCAACATTTGAGCTCAGGTAACGTCAACATCAAATCATGCAACAAGTTCAAGTGCAACACTCAAATGCATTTGCCATTGAAGAAGCAGGCAGCTACCAATGCAGACTTGGACATGTGAGAACAGGAGAAAACAGAACGTCAGAAAGTGGAGAAATCACCATACTGGCTTGTTTTTTTTTTGTTTTTTTAACACCACCACATGTGGGGAACAAGCCTGACACCTCACACTCAGACAAACCTGGAAAATGGAATGGACTCAAAGTAAAACAGGTCACAAAATGGCCTTCAGAAGCACATGCAGAAGGTAGTAAGCAGGGCATCCAAAGGGAGGCTGAACAGGGCATGTGTCTGTGCGAGAGCTTTGGGCCTGCGTTTGCATTCGCATGTTAAATAAATGCACCATTGGATCATTTCAACAAAAATGTTGATAGGAAACAAAAGAAAAAGGAAAAAATGAGTGACGGGAAAGTATGCATCTCTTCAGCCAGCCTATTTCAGCTTAGACAACACGTAAAAAACACTGAGCCTCATTAAATGCAGCCTTCGTGGCGCTGTGTCATTGATCTCCTCCTTAAAACCCCAGAGTTAGAGAAGAAAACTGCCGGAGGGGGTTTACTAGTGGGAGTGAGTCACCATTTGGCTCGGATGGCCTACAAGTGGGCTGGTACCTGTTTAAATGACAGTATTGGACTCATCTGAAAAGGTTCTCATGAGCAGGGGCCTGGCTGAAGACCGGGGAGACGGGAGGCCTCCCGCGCCCGACTGAACCGGCTTCTTCTAGAAGGGCGAGGCAAGAGACACCAGTGATGTCACTATGCTGACAGACACAAGCATACGGCTTTTTCTCCATCTTGTGCTTTCACTTGCACACAGACACACACAAAGACAAACCAACAAATACAATCACAAAGACTTACAAAAAGTGGACTGGTGGGTACTGGACACTGAAAATTAGTCAATGCATCTTTTCAGACAGCTCTTGCTAGCATGAGCTTTCAGAGGTCTACACCCTGTGAAATGGTCATCGGGAGACACATCTTCTGCCCTCGTATTTCTCAACGGAATGTATTAAATAAAACACACAGAGAGACAAAATACAGTGGCCTGTACGGACTATGTCGAGGATCCAGGATGAGGTTGTAGCCTCAAGCCTCATGCAGGTAAGTTTGGGTGCTTTGACGAGCTGCGGTCACCTGACTGGACATGCGAAGGCAGCAGGCATTGGAGCAGCACAAGCGCTGGGATAAAAACATTGACTGCAAAGACTGGACAGACAGGGATGGAAGACTGACTGTACGCTTTAAGGACAAACACCCTGTCCTGCTCCACACTGCAGACCAAACTGGGCATGTGTCTTTCCAATTTGACACACATAGCAAGAGAAGAGCACTTGAATCAAGGTTTGTAATGTGGCCTTCCCAAGGGTAGTGTTAATAAGGATGCTATTTGACTAAATCTACCCAACAGAGGGAGATTTTAATCAATGTTACTTAGTTGCGTAAAGGAGGAATCTGACAGTGGGAGAGGAAGGACACAACCAGTGGAAACAAGCAAGTTTCCGAGCACACAGAAACCTCAAGAAGAGATTTGAGGACAAATGCTGACAGAGAGAAAAAAAAGAGACCTCAGTCACTCCATGAGAAGCTGTGAGTGCTAACGGTCTGTGACAACATGAAGATAGTAGATGTCCCCGAGGAAGGAAGGCGATGCTTCATCTTTAGGGAGGAAAGTCCAGAGGGGAGAAGAGACAAAATAAGAGGGTGAAAATGATAAGACGGACGTATAGCAGGAACACAAAGTAGGAAAAGTGAAAAATGAGCAGCAAGACTAGAAAGAGCCAAAATGACAGCGTAATGCAGAGTGGAATTTGATCTGCAGACAGTGAATGCAAATATGTGTGACATTTAACAGACTGTGTCACTTTGCTGACACTACAGAAATATGTGTCCAGTGTGTAAGTTTATCCCATTGGCCAGATTTCAACAATAGTTCTGTGTGCAAAAGAAAACAAGACAACATGTTTTTTTCTCCTGAAATGTGGGATACACCCAAAAGCCACATTCATAAAGGCACTCAGCTGCAGTAAAACAAAGCCAGAGGAAAAAACTACTGGAGATCAAACAAGCCGTTTGCCACACATTCATTAAAATTTTAAAATGATGATGAGTAAAGTATTTTCTATTCAATTTCTGTCCCATTCTAAATGGATTTTCGCACTACATTCAATACCCAGTCGTATCATTTGTGTTGCATTTTATAAATGAGATTTTTAGATTTAGATTTGCTTTAATTAGTTTTGTAAATGTAAAAAAAGGATAAAAAAGATGTATACATGTCATAGTTTACCAATGGTGTGGTTCTGATAAGCAAAAACAGAGCTCTGAAGGAAAAAAAAGGGTAAAAGGTTTTAAAAACACTGCAAGAATAATAACTAAACAACATATTAACACAACTGGCCCCCTTAGCTTTATCTCTGTATTTTCTTTGTGGATTGAGCAGTAATGGTCATCTAACCTTTAAAGTTGCACCCACTGCCCTGGATGACGGTCGAAATTACCACTACTTGATCCACACAAGAAAAAAGACACAGTGTCTATATACAATGAAAAGAACGGACGGGCCTGTGCCATAGAAAAAGTGACTTTCCCATAATGCACAAGTTTGTGTGTCAGTTTCAGATTTACCTGACGAGCGTGGGGTCCTCGAGGCTTGCGGAGCACCACGAGTAGGATCTCTGGCAGTAGACTGAGCAAAATGAGCAATATGATGACCAGCCAGGCTGACACAGAGCTCAGCATGTTAGCAAACACAAAGTACAAACGCTGCTGCCTCAGGAAGGGCCTGCAAGAGAGGTGTAGTTTAGCTTACACGGTAAGGGATACTAAAAAAGACTTATGCTGAGAATGAACGCTTGTTATTTCATCTCACCATATTATTCCTCCCCAGAAGAAGCTGAAAAATACGTAGAAAGCCAGGGAACCCCAGATTACAAAGTGGTTGATCCATGTCCAGTGCCGTGTGTCCAGAGCCAGCTAAAAAGGAGGAATGAAGTTGCTTAAGATTGCATGTAAATCAAGATCATCTGAACTTTTACGCAAATTGTGTTTTTTTTCTTACCTTTAGTGTTACAGTGAAGACGAGGACAGTGAAGACTATAGTTCCATACGACCAGTTCCCAAAAACCTGGATTGAATAGCACGAGTAGAAAAGCGTCAGACAAAACTATGCTGAATGTTTTACTCTCAGATTCATTCAGAGGATAATTAAAACAGACCTGGCCATTATCCTGCAGAGCTGGGTTACTGAACAAATATCGAACACCAAAGAAGAAGAGCAAACCGTGGAAGACTCCGAGAAGGGTCCAGTAGAGAAATGGCCCCCAGCGCAACATAGCATTCTTTGCAATCTCTCTAAAAATAAGTTGGAGGTGGAAAATGAACAAAGTATTCCATGACTCTGAGAATCTGAATTATGAATTAAGTAAACACAATGAATATTAGAGCTCAAAGTAGATATCCTACATTTAAAATACAGAGGTAAATCTTTATTTTTCTGAACATAAGCAAAACACCCACAGCTACATGTACCACTCAATATAACATGAAGGTAAAGAAACATTCCCCAAGTTTACCTGTAGAGGGTAGAATTGTCCAGGAGAAAGTCAATGGTAATGTGCTGCTCAAAAAGGCTGTAAGCCAGGATGGGCATAGAGGTGAAGCAGATGTTGTACATCGTCAGATAGGCGGCATCATACAAGGGCTGGGGAGGATGGGAGGTGGACGAACAATTTGGGGGAATAGGTTGTAGGGAGAAGAAGGGAACGGGCAAGCAGGGGATTAATATTATGGACAGGGCAAAACTCAGACATACCAACACAGCACACACCCTGAGCAGGTCACTTGGACTAGCTTATACACATCTTTCCTGTATTTATGAAAGATCTGTGTCACAGGCCATAAGAGAGGAACATCCAGCCTCAGCTTTAACAAATACACACTCGTTACAGACATATCCTGTGATGCGTAAACCAGATTCTAGGTACTGCATATCTTCTAAATTGGCAAAAGCCTGATATGAACATGGGTGTATATGATTTATAACTTACTTTTAAGTAAATTAATTAATTGAACTTGCATCTGACTTTTCAAACACGTTCTGAATCACATATTTTGTAACAGATCACACTCATAAACACCACTGATATGCAATATATCAGAGTGACAGAGGCTGACGTGACTGTATTATTTCAAACAAAGCTCACACATCCCAGGGGCAGTGTGGGAGGGGTAAACAGAGGAACAGAATACAGTGTTCAGGGGATTTCAGGGGCTTTCCCTTTCTTTTCCAGTTTCAGGAGAAGTTTGAACCTCAGTAGGACTCAGCAGATACTTACTTGCTGGGAGTAGCCGCAAAAGAACTGGTACAAGAACTGGGGTAAGATGAAGCAAAGATTCTGCAGGTAAAACAAAATGAAAGCAAAGGTTCACATTGAGGACTTTAAGTCACCAGAAGACATACAAGAAACTAAGTGGGCCTTTAGAGAAAAAGTAAGTTTCTCTTACCTTGTAAAAGAAATATTGCACCAGGTGTGCAATGCGAACATAGTACAGATGTCCATGGGCCAACAAAAGTTTCTTGAGGTGCTTGAGTTTGGGGATGGCATAATCACTGTTCCTTACTGCTTGTCGACCCTCCTTACCCTTAATGCCTGACACACAACGACGAAAAATAACACATTACCTTTAGCACGAGGCTACTATTACCTGCAGATGAAGCAGTGGTTTCATGTAGCTTTGAATGATTTAAGCAAGTCGTTTCTTACCAATACCAACATGTGCTTCCAAAATCATGCTGACATCATTGGCTCCATCGCCGATGGAAAGCGTGATGGGGCTGCCTTTAGAGTTCTTCACCATTCTGACAATCTAGGAAGGACAGAGTGGCAGAGAAAAAGTTACCAAGTGGTCACTGCAGGCATTACCATTTGAGTGCTATGACTAAACTGTGAGAATTTCAGCAAATTATTCTGACCTGTGCCTTCTGTAGAGGAGCCATGCGGCAGCAGAGCACAGCTGTGCAGTTTTGACAAATCTGCAAAAACAGGCTCTTGTAGAGACTCGAGTTGGACTCAGAGGAAGGGCCGAGCACCATCGATAGTGAGGCTCCATCTATGATGAAACCATAATCATGGCTGGGCATGGACCACCTCCTATAACACAGAAAAGACGACGAATTAGTCACAATAATCACAAAGGATTAGTTTGGAATGTTAAACAACAAGAGGATAAAGCAGTCCCTATAGACAGGTTGATAAATCTAATCAAAGCACTGACCTGTTAATGCCGGCCTTAACCGGGGGTGCATCCTGTACAGCTTTCTTATGGTACTCAATCAAAAGGTCATGAAGCCTCTCCTCACGCTTCCTTCCCCCATCCTCTAGGGTGCGCACAGTCAGCTCCAAAAGCTCTGTGCCCCTCTGGAACAATCTACAGGCATAGCAGGTGGATTTTGCTGTCTCCATCTTGTCACCTGTCAGGACCCAAACCTTCATCCCCGCTCCCTGTAGGGCCTCCATGGTCTCTGCTGCCTCTTCTTGAAGCCTTCAGAGTAAAAACAGAATTAAAAGGCATTAGATGTGAGGAAGAACATACTCTAACAGCATGGCACTATTGGAGGAAGAGAAAAATGCAACAGAACCACAAATTCTATTACAGCTAAAGCAAACCAATTTAAGACAAGATCTATGGAGGTTCTATTTAGACCATATAACGGTGTTTTATGACTAATATGCAACTTGATTCAATATCTTGAATTCATTGCTAATCATATATATCATATAGCATAAACTGTGTGTTTTCCAATTTCAATAAAAATTTTCAATTCAGGTTTTATGCAAGTCAAAAATAGCCTGCCTTTTTTACAGTGAAGAACCTTGAATGTCAGGCCAGAGAATCCACAAGATGGCAGTGTGAAACTACATTATCATTGCTGTGATTGGGTTGGGGGGGGTCTGACCATACAACTTTAAAACATGTTTAAAACAAAAAGATGAGCTCTCTTATAGCATGGAACAAAGGGCAGGTAGCACAGAAAGGGCTGATGTAGATAAATCAATGCCTGAGAGCAACATTGATAAAAAAGCACATTGAGGATGAAAAAGAAGAGCATACAAAAAACCATGACAATCAGAAGCTGATAACGTCAGCTAAGTTGTTTTCTGTATGTCACGTAGGAACACACCGATCTTCCACGGCGGTAGCTCCTATTAGACTCATTCCAGTCTCCACTTGGTTGTAAATGGTCATTAGCCTCTCCTCTCTGTCCTGCAGAGCCAGTCTAGCTTCCCTCAATCCCTCGTCTGCCTGGGCGTACTCCTCTGGGCTAAGATGTTTGTATGCCACACACAGCGTCCGATAACCCTCCTAAATGGGGGGGAAAAAAGTGCGTTACAGCATGAAACCAAAACTCCTTACAGCCTCAGGGACATTTGGAAATAAAACTTTTTTTAAAAACACTGTTTTGTACCCACTGTGGCATTACGTTCCACATGCATGCGTATCCTTTCAACCTCCTCCTGTCTGACTCGAGGGAAGATGGACGAGTCTGCTCCCTTACAAAAAAGCAAGGTATCACCTGGGCACAATAAAAACAAAAACAAAAGAAACAAATCACACAGTCTGCACAGTGACAGCAAACCAACATCAAACCAGAAGTGAATTCAGCATGAGCTCTAACAGGGGTCTCAAGCTCACCTGATCTGGACCGGACGATCACACTCATTCGCCTTCTCACTGGGTCAAAGTTCAACACATGAAGCAGGTCATACCTTTGGTGGCGAGCGAAAATTAAGGAAAAAAATACAAAGGAAATCAGTGCATATGTTGCTCTATTTTTAAATATTGGCTGAAATCAGAAAACTTCTTCTGTGTGATTGTTGACTCACATTTCAACATCTTTGTTTCGGTTGAGAATTTTCATGGTCTTACTATCAAGACCCAGAAATGTGAACCCGTACCTGTAGATGGTGAGATATGACCGCAAATTTGCAACCAACTAGATGAATGTTGTGTGATTTGATCATGTAAATTCAACTCCCTAAGTAGAGAAAACCATTTTCTTACCTCATGGCACCCTTGACCAGAGCAATCTCATCAGGTGAGGAAGCAATAAAACCCCTCTCCTCCTGTGGAGGATGATGCACCTCTTCAGACACCCCTAAACCGTCCACCTGATCCATCTTTTGGCCTCGACTCTCCTCTGCACTCTCCTTCACCTGGACTGTGTGGCATAGACACAGGGCACGCAGAAACAGCTCCTCCCTCTCCTATTGACACCACAAAGTTAAAGTGGCTCAGCACATTAAAATGAGAAACAATGAACACTGTTTTATTCATAAGTTTAACAATATAAAATACTGCACTGATACATCATTTACAAGGTCTTATCAATAATCTTATCAAAAGAGCTGCTGTGCAACAGTCAGTAAAGTCTTATCAGGCGCTCATGAGAGCACACAGATGCATTTTCACTTCCATATTAACTGCATATGTTCAGATGTCAAGGAGACCATACAAGGGTGACATATGAAGGGTCTTTCTGATAAACGAGCAATGTAATGGCCGTATGTTAATGCTTTTGGGACTTTTACAACAGATGGTGGGACATACAACCCCTACCCTGCCAGCTTTCTGCTGTAGTTTGTTCACAGGTCCATCTGTGACACAAAATCCATCCAACTCAGAGCTTGCGTCCCGGTACTTGTACTGGAAACCGTCGATGCAGCACTCTATGAACTCCATGTTGTTCTGAGTGAGAGTGCCCGTCTTGTCTGTGAAGACATATTCCACCTGCAAACAATGCGACTGGTGAGTGGGGGGGTCCGACATAACAACATCCAAATCCATAAAAACTCTTGCTTCTAATTTAGCAGGTTCCAACAATAATATTTGGTTAACTACTGCCAGAAAGAATTATGCCGCATTAATCAGTTTAATGGAGCATCACCTTAATCGTAAGGCAAGTAATCGTCTAGCAAACTAAGTGTGACTGATCTATAGCAGCATTGTTTCTCAGGTAGATGTGCCAAAAGAGAAAAACAAAAAAAAGGATGACAATTGTGGCAAACTGGGATAGAGAGAAATTCTTTCAATACAGTTGAGTCACAAAATCGACAGATTATTTTCTTTTGTGCATGTTGTAATAAAACCTAAATTCTCATTAAGTGACTACAGTTCTGAATGTCTGTGTGTGTGTGTGTGTGTGTGTGAGATGTGCTAGGGGTCTGACACTTCCCAGCAGATTTACAGTGGCATTATCTCTCCCCATGCTGCTGAGTGGCAAAAATTAGAGTTTCATGTTCAGAAAAAAAACTAAACCAAATCCATGAACTGATTCAGATGAGCAGACAGATAAAAAGGTCCTTACGTAGGTAAGCTTATCTACTGAATATGTTGGAAAATGGGCTTTGAAAGAAACAAGGTCCCACCAGGTCTGCATAGGACAGCTCTAACCATATCACGCATGATAATGTAAAGTTTTTGAATATTATCACTTTTAATAAAGCCACCTTCGTTTGATGTTCAGATAATAAAGAGAAGAAATGAATAATCAAGTATTCACCCACAATACAACAGTGTTTATGGCGCCCACAGTGGTCCACGTGGGCTCCACAGATACCTATTTTATTTCTCCCCTATCTAACTGACCTGTCCAAGCTCCTCATTGAGGTCTGAAGTGTTGACCAGTGCCCCCTCCTGGATTTCAGGGTCAAAGAAGTCTTTGTCCCATGTGATGAAGAAGGATCCCAAAAATTTTTGCATCTCAACTGTGACATACATGGACACTGGAATGATGAAGTTGAAGAGCACCATGAAGGACAGGAAGTCTGTGAACATCTTAAGATACTGTGGAGAAACACAAAAGAAAACAAGCAAGTATATGCAGTTAAACAAGGTGTCAGAGATAACCAAAGGGGGAAAAGTCCCTCCACATACTACTTCAACACGTTTTGCTTCACGACTTATCGTAACTCAGTTATTCCAAACACTACAAGGCTAAAAATGTAATTTTCTTTTTATATCAATATGTACAGTATCTGATTGTTTTAACCAGCATTCTGATTAAAGTATTGACATGGCCTATATCGTAATAGATGGATTAAATAACAGAACCTATCAGATTAATTCTAAAGAACAGGGATATGAGGAAACCCTAAGGAATGTTATGGTTAAGCTTTTCTAAAGTACACAACTAAAGGCAGAAAGAACAATTGTAGGCAGTCACAGCCTGGGAAGAATTCTCAATAAATTATTTAAAACAAACTTTTCGTGCACAGTAATGTTAATTATTCACATTGCAAGTGAAGCTCAGAGAATTATTTGACCGTAAAAACAATTCCCAAGCATTTCATTAATTTTACCTAACCTCTTCAGAAAAGGCTCTAAGCATACACTCCAGCTCTGTGTCTGCTATTCATTTGCTGCTATTCTAATATGAACCACAAACATTTAGAAAACCGTGTTGCTATCCAGATATTTAAGCAGCAAACTGCATGATGTAGAGCCAGTTATCATTGTTCTGTGAGCAGTGGTGCTTTCCATCCAACTCCAGACAGGAATTTTAGTAATTAAACTAAAGCAAAAGAGATCACAGTTTAATCTCTTTGATTCACTGTTTAGGAGTGCACTGCATTGTTTGAGAGTAGTACCAATCTCATAGTTTCAACAGCAAGAAGACAGGAGCTCACCAGATTGGTGTCCTTCTCTCTCTGGGTTTTCTCATTGTACCATGGCTCATCTTGTCCAGGCTTGCTTTGCCACACGTATTTCAGAGTGGTGCACACAAGGGCTTTGCTTACCAATATGCAAAGATAAACCAGAAGGAAGGCATTGATAGACCTGAAAATAAAGAGCGAGAGAATCCGGATAAAGAGCAACACATTCATTTTGTGCCTTTCTAAGCTGATCGACAGTTTTTGCTCTCAACTCACTTCTCCACAGCAGAACGTTTCTGAGATTTGCCCTGATAATTTAGAGCCATTTTTGTCTCCATGCCAGTGTAAACGGCAACACCTTCAGACAGTTTGGGGAGAGGGAGGGGGGTACATGAGAGCAGGATCAGAGTTACACATACAAAGTCATTTTTAGTAATAAAAGTTAATGTGATCATTTCAATATCAGTTGCCGCACCACATATCCTCTGGGTGTTCTTTAGAGTCGCTCCTTTAAGCAGAAGGTTTTCTGGGCCCAAAGACCTACGGGAATCACATCAGTATCAGATCAAACAGGGTTCAGTCATACGCGGGCTGTGCAATCCACACCCCGGCTCTCTAAATGGAAACCTGGCAGGAGAGCTGGCATCAACTCTGAAAGGGCAGTGCGAAAGCAGCCCGGGCCTGCACCATCCCAGCGCTCTTGAGAAGGACACTGGCATTTGTTTATATGGCCATTACAAAGTAGTCAATGACAAATGCCAGTGGGAGTGCTTTGGAAGCAGTGGCTAAAACCCTGCCAGCCCGTTTTAATTTTAATGCTTGTCTGCAATGACGGATCAATGGCGTAATGATTTGTTGGTGATGCAAAGGGAAACAAATGAGTGCTTAAGCAACTGTGCTTTGATTTTGCTCTCACTTAAAGTGGGTCGAGATGGTTGTGCGTAAGAGCTCTCACCTCACTGAAGGCTCTTCACTGTTTTTGTAGATGTGCATACGGCCAACAAATCTGGAACAAAATAACACACACTCATAAGCTTTTCTTATACGCCAAAAATAAAGGCAATGCTTGTTTTGTAGATTTTTTAAAATCTTTGTATGTGAGGGAAGATGTGAACCTCTAGAAGCAAACGCCACTCACTAACTCAAAATCCAGTGAGGAGATTTGGAGGTCTTTTTTGCCCCAGGTAGGGAACCAAATGTCATCTCTAAATTTTAAGTTAATATTACCCAAGTTAAATTTGGATTTAGTTAGAAGGATATAGAAACATTTCAGTGTTTGTAATGTAAAATTAGACATTTACAAACATGCTAAATCACACAGTTTCCTCCTCAACAGTGTACATCTTCCTTTTTGGCTATCCGTGATATTTTTAACAATATTGTCCGAAATCACTGCCCCTCAAACTGAAAACAACATAGGCTTCTTGTGTAAATCTGTTGGGACCACAGGATGATTGCCTTACTTGTAAAGGTCAGGCTGTGGCTGTTCACACTCAATTGTGGCATTGAGAGATTCCAGACCCCTCTCTGTGTCTGGCACAGTGTAATGTGTCTGGAGAAGGGCGAGAGACAGAGACAGCCAGTTTTACATTTTAGCCTTCTTCAACTTCTCACTCGGAGGAAGTGACGTGCAGCTCAAGAGATACTGAGATGGCGTGATAAACAATAAGGCATAAGCAGAAAAAAGAGGAACTTGACAACAGAAACTTCTGTCCAAGATGATAAGCTTTAGAGAACATCGGTATGCTGTATGCGTTTAAATTCCAGCTAGTATCCTTACTTCAATTTTAGGTAGACACTGGCATTTAAAGAAAGCAGGCAGCATCAATCAACCCAAAATGATAAAACGTTTCCAAATTTTCATTTATATGCAAGAAAAACAACATTTCCATGGAACCATTTTCATATGAACAAGGAGGCGGCAGAACATCTTACTTTATGATTGGATTCTCCATCCAGACTTGCAGTTGTAACGAAACATGTGCCATCATCTCGACTGGACTGCAGCAGTATTAAATCACAGGGAAAGGTCTCGTCCTCCTCCACCTCCACAACATCTCCCACCTAGGAAAAGAAACACACACAAAAAAAACACACACAATAAAAAAAAAGAAATAAAGACATCCCTGTTATCCTGCTCTTCCTTTTTGATAATTCAAGCAAGCTAAAATAAATTCAGACCCCCATCAGTGTACACTTATACAAGCTGAAGTCACAAAATCAGTCATGAGTCAGATAAGTGCTTCCCCAAATATTGAGTTTAATATCTGTTTCTACCTGGGTAGCCATTCTGAGGCTTACCTCACCCTTATGAAAATGTTGTGCTGAAGTGCAATAAAGTCCCACCAGCCGCAGCTTGACACTCAAAAGACCTCAACCGTTTCCTGTCACACTGTGGTGGCCGACTTTTTTTTCCGAACCTCTGCATACTATCTTAATGTCTGGCTTAAAAAAAGCAGAACCAGCTTAAAACAAAGCTGCCGAGTTCTGTTTTTAAAACGTGATGTCAGCAGCTGCAGTTCAAATTCCACAGAGTTAGGGTTCATTTGGTTTAATCAAACCACCGGAGGGAAAATGTTCATGGGAGACAGAATAATGATCACTGCAGATGAGATAACATCAGCCTCTCAGAATCCGGTGTGCCACTCACATCGACATAAGACACTGTTAAGTTGCAGGACTGGCTGAACATAGAAAATTGAGCCTCTTGGTGTTTTTCTCTATTTAAAATTTTTGTCTTTTGTACGGGCTGTACTGGAAGTTCATTTCTCCTTGTGAGATCAATAAAGTTTTCAATCAATCAGTCAATTTACTTGTTGCTTTTATTATGAAATTATAAGCAACTCCACTTGTGGAGTTCTCCTTTACTTTTTTGGTGCTTTCTCTTTTGTTTCTACCAAATCATAAGTTGGAAATTGCAAGTTCATAAGATATTTGTTCATAGCAAATTTATTTTTGCAGTGTAACCCGGCAAATAAAAAACAAACCACTCATTTAGGCAACATTTCTTAATATTACCCTTTAAAAATATATGTACAAAGCACAGAAGATGACAGAAATGCACAAAGTCCATCAAGTTTGTGACTTTGACCGGTCAGTGCCAGCTGGCCGTTACACTACTTCTGCGTTCTTTTCTGCAGTGCAGTTCATAGCTGGTGCCAGTGCATCACACGGCTTACACTGTGTTGCAAAGAGGAGGAAGCACCATCTGTGTGTGGCCAAACTGCGTGGAAGATAAATGAAAAAATGTTAAATAAAATTGCCAAGTAAGTATTTTTCTGTTTTGTATTTGTCTGTCTGAACACGCCTTGCTGTGTGCGCTCTCAGGCGTGGTACTGTATGCTTTCTCATCTGGAAATAATGTGCTTCAGTGATTACAGAAGCATTTTTTTTTACAAATTTACAATGGTAAAGTAGCACTAAGATGAGTGACTGAAGTCCAGATAGCTCAGTTCAATACCTTACATGCATTAACTACTTTCAGACCCATATTTTAACATCTAATCAACAGAGAAAACAAGTTATCTTCCGTCTATATACACCAACCATGCCCATGACACGCAGCTTCTCTCTGGAATCATCCTGAGGAAATATTTTCCAAACTGACCAAAGCCATGATAGGTCTGCTAAAAGGTACCTTGATCTTCTCACTTTCCTTCCGTATCCTCCGGCCATCTTCTAGCACTGTTACAGGGTACTTGTTGACCTCGTTATCAGCCTTGTGCCGCAGCCAGTCTTCATATCCCTATGGCAACCAATCAAACACATCAGAGGTGCATTGTTTGCTTGGCACAAGAAAACAGAAGAACTTTCTTTGTGGCATTTGTACCCACAGAACACGGACAGTGATGATTGTGATTTCAGTACAAATTAGTTCACATGAAGGCAGTAGTTGTCAAACAGTGGTGTGGACAAAGGAGGAAAAAAAAGAAGAAAATAAAAAATCACATCCACTCATATCGAGCTATAACACTGGCTGACATCAATCCCAAGGGAAGAATACTAAATATAACTGTGCATAGACTTTAATTGCTACATTCAGTATGTCATCATTATCTATGAGTGCCTGCAGCAGCAGAATGTGATGGAGTCTGTCCAACAGTGCATTCCGACAGTACACCGGGAAAGAATACTGAGTCAGGTAAAAAAAATTAAACAGATATGTCTGAGCTGCAGCCCCACAAGAGACAAAATATACCGTAACCTTCTTAAGTACTCCAAGATAGTGCTAGGAGATGGTGCAGTGTGTGCCAAAGGCTGCACCTGAGCCAGAAAGTGTGATAACTGCTTAAGGTGAAATGAGGAATTATGCCAGGGAGGGGACAAGGTGGGGAAACATCCCATATATGGAGGAGAGTTCCACTCAGCTTGACTATTAAATTCCGGCAGACCTCTTTTGTGTCCCACTTCAAAGCCTGGCTGAAGGCGATCCAGCACTATCAGAACCCCCCGTGTTTTTATGGGAGGAAGCCCACCCAGTATTGTGCGATTCAAAGCCCCGGCAGTAGATCAACTAAAAAGCCGGTCCTGAAACAATACATCTGAAGCTGGGACATTACAGCAACAGAGCAAAGGAAACAGAGATCCCCCTTGATAATTCATATCTCTGTAATAGACTTGGTCTCTTTTGCTCTCTCTCCATTTGCTCATACTCCCCTAGAGCCCATTTCATCTTCACCCCAATCAGAACTCACAAGCAGAGCACATTAATACAAGACCCAAGAGGGCATTAGTCAGTTGCTTTGTACAAAAATCACAGCAAGGGAGTTAAGAAGGCAGCGGGATTTGATATGTTATGAAGAGGATGGGAGGGTATAATGGGATGAAAGACAATGAGGAAATGAGGACATGGCTACAGGAATCCAACAACCCTGTTATCAGCTCTCTCAGCCTCATTAGGCAGCGTCTTACCTGCTTGATAGCAGTTACTGTAATCACAAAAAATAAAGGTAGGCCACTGGTGACTGGGCTGGTGGGGGTGTCCACTATCACCTGTGGAGACAGAAACAATATTCGGCTTCAGAGAGGGCTTGCGTTAACATGTTTGACCTTGAAAAATAGAAAGGGCTGTGAGGCGTTGCTGCGGCATGTTGCCGTGGCAGCAGCAGCAGCTGCAGCAGCTGTGTGCCCGTGCGCGGCGGGCGCTGGCAGGACGGGACCCAGCCTCCGAATGCAGATCCAGCTCCTTCTCCTTCTCCCCCCACACGCTTCCTGCTGCTCCGCGTGCGTGTTCCTCAGCGGGGGAAACGCGAAACGGCATTTGCATTTTTGGAGGGAGGAAAAAAGAGGTTCCGGGCCACAGAACTTTTAATCAAGTGAGCTGGGTAAAGAGTGCTTAATCTGCAGGTGTGCCAGCTCCTCTGTGCGAGCCTGCCAAGGCACAAGAGGGGGAGGCCGGCGGAAAGCGCCGTCATGCGGCAACCGAGTCCACAGGTACAGTTAAGTGTCTGTGTGGAGAATCTGAGAACCCTGTCATGTTGAACCAGATATCACTTCATCTCAAGCTAACAGTGTAAGAGCAGTATGTGAGAAGAAAAAAAAATCGAAAGAGAGGGGGACGTAAAAAAAAAAAAATGTAAAAAAAGAACAGTACACTACATAAATCTGTATCCATCAGAGAGATCTGCCCAGACATTTCTGATCCTGCAGGATACACATTAGTTTCCACACTGTCTCAACTGGTTTCACATTAATATTCTGGCCAGAAGTGATACCCAGAGTGAGATAGACATGAGCTGATGAGGTGGCAAAGAGGCAAAGTGTGTCCTCCTCATGTACTCTAGAAAAGAGCGTTATTCATGCTGGTGCATCATGGTTGATGAAACAGGACTGTTTGATTTAAGCCAATGTCAGTTCTGTACATTTTGAGCTAATCTGCCCAAGGTCACCGTTGCACACATATGGTTAATTCAGATGCTAACTTTGCAAAACTGAGCTGTGCTACCGTCTTCTTTTAAGAAACAGGATTTTTTTGTGGCAAATCTTCTGAATCAAGACCTACTTGTTCAGTCTGGTTCTAATTATACTGCCATCTCAGACTAATTGTAGATGACAGCACAATTAGTCTGAGATGGAGCTTTTGGATTTTCTGATGATTTTTTCTTCCCAGCACTGCATGCTCTGACCTTGTGGTGAACTGGCTGAGATGTCCACTGCAGGGAAGACTGGCAACCGTCTAAAATCTTTTCCTATGCTTAGAAAAAAATATATAAGGGTCCTCTAAACCTGAGGAAGGTTTTATCTGATGAAGAATGTTAGAAAAATATTCGAAACATATATCTTCTAATGGCTAATTCTTAGACACAGAATATCTGTAGATATAGACAGTATTCTGGCCAATACAAAACTATTGATTTATATCATAGAAAAAGTGCCCACGTGCAATTTGACAGCCTAGTAGCATAAATTCACTTCTGCTGGTAAAGCAACTTGATGAAAATATCTGTATCTTTCTTCAGCTGACCTTACATGTACTTCAGGTTCCCAAGAGACTAGCATCAGAAATATTTCCATAACAATCGTACTGCAGCAGCAAACTCCATGGGAAGCAAAAATCCTCCCTACATGTCCACACCCGCCTCCGTCCCCCTAAGTGCAGACCTTTTTTTTTTTCCCTTCTTAAAACTGGTCTGTTTGCCTTGGCTTTTGAGGCTTCGTGAGATGTTTGTTTGTGCTCATCTTATTCTAGTTTTTATAGCATGGCTGCTTTTATGTTTCTTTTAACGTATATTCAGATTTTAGTATTCTGTCTAGGTATTGGCGTTTTATCGTCTTATTGTATAATGTCCAGCACTAAAGTCCAGCACGCTCCACGCGGCGTAAATATAAAGTGCTTTATGAGTGTCGCTGGACTGGATGTGCAGCCGTTCTCTGCTTTTGTCGAACGACACTCTTGAAGTTTCTTTTAAAGATCGTCGGCAGTCGCAAACTTCCCATCGGTCAAAAAAAACAAAAAAAAAACTTTCTGCTGCACCAAAGAGTAAATAAATAAATAAATCAACAATAGAGGTGAAGAGCGTGCTGCTGCTGCCGCTGCTGCCGCTGCTGATGTGCTGGTGTGATATTAGAGCAGCGGAGCGGAGCAGCACAAAGCCCTTCATCTGAGCTGGGAAGTGTGTCAGGGTGAGCGACAGACAGCAGGTCTCCGGGGTCCCAGAGCTGCACTGTGGGTCTTTGTGTCCTCCTACCCCATCGCCCTCTCCCTTTCTCTCCCTCTCCCCCTCTCTATCTCTCTATCTCTCCCCCTCTTGCCCTCACTTTGAGGCTCTGGCTCCCTTACAGTGCTCTATTCCCATTCAGTCAGATGCAAGCAAAGACATACAGAGGCTATTTATAGAAGAGTGGTGCTTTTTTATCAGCCTGCGTCTATTTATGTCTCTCAGAAGTACAGAGGGCTCCCTGGCAGCTGACGTCAGCAGTGCAGCGCTGCAGAGAGATGGAGGTTATGTGGGATAGAAAAGGGAGAAAGACACACAGAAAGACACAGGCTTAATGACGAGGTGTGAAAAGGAGGGCAGCACCGTGTCGTAGTGTTGGATGACATTTGATTGTTGGTGGAGCATTTGGATAAAGCCTCTCTGGTGATAAGGGAAGGTTAGTTTGCGACTGTGGAGGCAGATGCAAAAGGAGCGTGTAATAATTCTACTCGTTTCTCATTCTATAATGTAATGGTGAGCTGCATGGGGGAAAACAAGTGGTTAGAAAAAGGAGCCCCTCCAGAGAGGTTGGATTAGTGGAGAAATGCCAACCACACTGGAGCTTGTGTAAACACTATCAGCACAGCGTGGACACCCACTGACTCAGATCAACTGCACAGGCACATAAAAACCCGTATGCAGACATGCAGCTGGATGCCTTGTGGAACAAACGTGTAGCAGCATGTGGGTGACGCAAAGTTCGAGGTGGTGAACTAGAATTTCAAGCTAAATCGATAGCAAAAATCAAACTATCCTAAAGAACGGCTGTGGCTAATAATGAGAGGCCTGACAATATAGAAAAATAAAGGTCTAGGAAGTAAGCGTAAAGACGGTCCAATAGGTCTGCTGTAGCTCGAGTAGAATGGAATTTAAGGAAACAGAGCACAGGCATATAGCAATTCACTACGGTACTGGACTACTATAAGTTTATCTATAATAAGTTTACTCTGTGACCTTGTCTAGTCAGTATGCGACAAGAGGCCCCGTTTACACAAGAGGGATGTTTATGGCCGCAGTTTAGATTGCTGGTAAAGGAGGAGAGGAAAGTTTCCATTTCCAGGGATCAGAAAAAGATGTGATAGAGGGCTGATAGAAGACCCAGGGCAGATGTAAGCAACTAATCTTGTTCCACTCTCTTTTTGAAGAGGACAGGAGTTATTTTGGGGATAGAGAGGCACACAATGCAAAAACCAACCAACGCACACACACACACACACACACACACACACACACACACACACACAAATATAGAGATAAAGGTATAGTACAAGCTTTGTATTCAGTTCATTAAACGCCTCTCTCAAACAGAGATCCATACCTAAACCACATGCAGATTCACATATTTTAGCCTTGCTATTTGATTCCTCGAATAACTTCATATCAACACAGCACATATTGACACAATTTTGCAACCACATTAAGAAATCCCAGTTAAACAATCAGCCTTCAGTGATGCTTTTGAAAACCGAACATCTATATTTGGGCATAGGGCTTTACAATGCCAAATCTTAAACACCAATAGGTTTTGTAGGGGGAAAGTGCTGCTTTTCTTTAAAGGATTACTAAAAAGTAGTCATCTACTTCAGTGACTGTAGAGTAGGAGTTACACTGTGTCTGAAAACCACAGCTCTACGTTTGTTTACTGCTTTTGATAAAACTGCTGTCAGCCCCAGATATTTGGTTTTGCTTCTAAATGTCTTCATGACAATGTAATTTCAATCTCGTATCTTTTTTCCATGCAAGTTGCTGTCCGTTTCAGAGCTTTGTGAGACGTTGTGTGCAGTAGATGTGTGTTTCTCTAAAGAGAATACAGGCTGATTACATCCTTGCTCCCCTGACCGGAGCACTCTGAATGAAAATTTGCATGTAAAGCAGGTTGTTGCGTTGGCAGTGATGTCGTGCAGAGATGGAGCTCATCGAAACCTGAGCCTATTGCGGAAATTACTTAGCATGAGATTGGACGCCAAAGAAACATTTCGAAATTGCACTACAAAGCCAGGCATTAGCGGGTGGTGACCAGTGTGAAAAAATGGAATCTTATTAAAGGGGGAGGTCCAACTGGAGGAGCTAAGGGGCCCATTGGGCCTTTGTGTTTTAGTTCTCTCAGGATATTATTGATTTACTTGCTTCTTTGAAGTGGTTTAAGAGTATAGTTCCTTTTTTTGTACTTTTTAAAAAGCCATGTAAGCTATTGTGACATTAGAATGTTTAGCAAACATTTTGTCCTGACAGCAGGAGCCATGAGAAGCTTTAAAGACAAGTGTACAGTTTGTACTTTACACAAAGTTATTGTTTAGTGAGTTTGTTGTTTTTTTATTTGTGTCTACTGATCTCGCATCCTGTTAACGCTTCACGCCATGCGTAGCCTGTGAAAACAGACACGCCCTAACACATCCACCACCATGCTGGTATCTAATCATGTAGATTGCCATGATTCTACTCCTTGGCAGAGTGACCGATTCAGATTAGAGACTGATAAACAACAAGGCTTCGTCTGCTTGGCAGCGTTAATGGACAAATCAAACTGGGGGGCGTTGAACATACATCAACACGGTCACAGGCAGCCAGTCACAGATGAAACAAGCTTATCGTTGTTTACATTAGGGGACAGAGCTTTCTCTTACCTGCACCAGGAAGATGATAAGGAAGTAGAAATTGGCAATTCTCCTAAACTGTTCAAACATGTTCTTTGGTAGAAAGTTCCATACTGTATACTGTGGAGGGTAAAGAGAGAAGAAAGAAGTTAGTCATATGAAAAACAAATAGGTGAGGTTGTTTGTTGGTTTCTCTGATTTGCATTTTTTCCAGTCTCATTTAGACACAAAAAGAAAGGCTGGAAATGGTCAACAGAATAAAAACAGCTATGATTCTCAGACTTTTGTGTTCAGTATCATGTCTGAACTAGAGGAGAGAAAACAGGAAAGCAGCTTCAAAAGCTGTTCCTGGTACTGCCTTGTGAGAGCGACCTTGGGGGACCAGTGGATTCAGATTAGTAACTTATCACCTTTATTTAGGCAGTATTGAATGCAGAGCCAAAAACTTAACAGGTTGTTTTGGTTTGCTTTTTTAAGTGGCCGTGAATGCTGATATCGTCATAGGGGAAGCTACGCCTCTCTCTGCTTAAATTCCTGAGAGCGGCTCAAGAATTTAACGTTACCAACTTTGTACTGCATAACAAGGATCCATAGAGGAAAACACCAACGCATGCCAACAAATGCAGCCACAAACTCCTGCACGAAAACTGCAAGGAGCCGCTGATTATGAGGGGGAATGTCTGCAGGGGGAGAGAGCTGAAATGCAGTGGCAGCAGAATGGCCCATCTCATTTTGCTGGAGAAGAAAAAAAGAAAAAAAAGAGAGTAAAAGTAATGAGAAAAAGAGGGGTGGCAGCAGTGAGGAGGGATCCATGTTGCGGTGCAGCAGCAAGAACAGGAAAGGAAAAAAAGCGGGCAGATTGGTCCTACTGCAGAGTGCAAAAGCAACAAGATGATGGAGGGCCGAGGTAGCAGGGAGCATAAACACTACAGCCGGGATAATTAAAGACTGTTTATTCTGACATACTGGCAGGAGCCAATTGATTGGTCCCTCTTCACCAGGACCCTCTGCACCACTATAAATCCCATGGCCATCTTTTTCCACACATTGCTTCCACCTCATCATCCTCTCACTACCTCTATCCACAGGCCCTCCAGAAGGCAGCACCTGCTGGAGCTTGCTGTTGACTAACGATAGATGGCTTAGACTTTGCTTGGGTGGGGGGGAGCTATGAAAGCCCGGGGAAACAACTAAATTGCCCCCTGTTACAGTACATTAATAGCAGCCGTGTATTTTACTGCTAGTCAGTGCTCCCCGGACAGACGAATAATTGTGCTCTTGTGGAAACTCGAACAAGTATCAGGAGAGACGAAGGTACTACAAATAAAAAGTGCTCTGGAGTTATATATGCACTCAAAGTGTTAAATAAGGGGAGAAAAAAGGCCCAAAGGCAGGTGACGCATTTCAAAGACAAAAGGAGCTGCAAAAAATTTTAAAAATTACATCAAATTTTTACCTTAGCTGACCAGAGAATGGTTCTGGAATCACATAGAAATAACTTTTGTCTGGGACGGTCAGTAGAGACCACATAATGCATTCACTTCTCGATGTGTTCCTTAAACCAGAACAGCGAAGTGCTTCTGCCCCCTCAGTGTTAAAGTGTAACCACACTGACTTCCATTTGCCAAACGTAAGCGGGGCAGCGCAGCGCTTCTTACCTTAGAGGACACAATCCTGTTGTCACAGAAGTTGGGTGGAATGAACGCTTCAGTGGCCGGATGGGACCGCTGGCCAACATAAATTGTCCTGCTGTCAACCCTTCTCTCATCGCCTCCGAGCTAAAGGAAAGGGGGGGGGGAATAGAAAAAGTTTATGAGTGAATAGTTGTTCAGCCATCTTTGATCTATCAAAGCATCAATTGTTTGAAGGAGTTGGGGGACGTAAAAATGATTTTACATCCCCATAACAAACGCACGACATGATGAGGCCTACACTCTGAACATTTCTGTGAGCTACAACTTGGAAAGCACTCGACTGGAAAACTGAGGTACACAAGCCAATAATTCAGAGAAGGAACAAGGAAGTACGACAAGGGTCAGCGGGCCAAAACGCCGATCATGTGGGACTGTAACTCCATTTTCCCTTCCCAGGTGCCTGCTCGTTAATGATGAGACAAAACTAAACGCAGGGAGTCGGGAGGGAAATACGCTGTGCTCAGAACGTTGGGCAGAGTGTCTTTGTTTGACACATCCGGGACAGTTTCTGACTACTGTGTGATGGGTTTCTGCATGGACACACTAACCACACAATAGAAAGAGTGAGGACTTCTGGGGCCAGACGTTCTGGACTGAGGCTGCCGGGTCATTCCTCTTCCATAAAAGGCAGGGAGCGTGAATCACCGAACAAGACGCAGCGGTCAGGCCCGGCCAGAATTTCACAGGAGCTCCCCCGTCTATAAACCTCCACTAAAGTTATATAAACCAAAGCGGTAAATAGAAGGAAGAAAATTCGGACGACAAATTACGCTCGCTAGTTGTTTGACAGGACAGATGTTTACGTGCCGACACGTCGCTTAGCCACACGGCGGAGCTCCACAGTGTCACCCTGTCCCTGTCTGGAACCGGAATGTTGGATCCTATGAGAGATCTGGAGGGATGAGAGTGTCACTGTGTGTGCTCACTCAGGCACGTGGGTTTGCCAGAACTTGTGGGGTGATGTATTTTCTTTTCTTTTCAAACTCTCATGTCACCAGACCCTGTGAACTGTCAGTTCATTCATCAAAATAAACAACCCCCCCCTCCTCCGTACTTCACTCGTTCAGAGGTCGTGAAACTAGTTCTTCAACTCTAACACGATGAAGACGGAAGCACCAACAGAGCATTTAACCTGAGTCTAAGCAAATCTGACATGTGGGCTGGATTTTAATACCATATTAATTCCATTTTAATAAGTAACTGCCGAAAAATGTTTGGGCAGTGTAACCAAGAAACATCTCATTTTAATGACTTATTTGTATAACTTGTCTAGGACAGAAGTTTCCTTTATCAATAGTGAAGCCAAAGCGTAAAAACAAAATAATAAATAAATAAAAAATCAACAGATATATTTCAATGCTAAAATAAAGCTCATTCCAAAGTTTTCAGTTTCCAGCACCAGCTTTATCGGTGCTCTGTGAGTCTGCATGAGCATTATGAGCCGTTCCTCATTTCACACGGTCAAAAGGCGTCTTTACAGATCCCATAACACATCAGCTACAATGGATGTAAAACCAGACTGGCAGAAATTCCTGTGACTAACCGTCCAGGATTATCTGTTCGTCGAAGACCAAATATTTTGGTTACATTCACAAAGCTTGGCATACACCGTTCTTTCTCTGAGTTCACTTTCTTTCCTGTTCTCCTACGCACATGGAAACATAACAGCTTGGGCAGACAGCTACAAGGACTGGAAGATCTCGATAATGTAAGTACACTGATTCAGCCAGAGCTGCTGCATCCAAATTTGCTTCTGCCTCTTCCTACTTTAGTATCCTTGAGCATGCTGCTTTTTCTCTCAGATAAGGGTTATTTCCAGGGCTCAAGGTAACTGAACTGATACTCAAAAATCCTTTGGGATATCACAGTTAGAAGCAGAATTAACTACATCTGTCAACACGTTTGCCTTTCATTTCTATAAATCAATATGGTAAAGCATGTCTGGAGATCAGCAGTTTGAATGAATTTTAGGGATACAACAGGTCCTATACATCTAATCATAGCCTTATTTAAGATCCCATCTTAAATACGGCTAATATCAGTGCATTTATTTCAACGCAAAAATAGTCAAACTCCATTGAATTCTAGCTTAGGATGCATCCGAGCTTCGCTTTAATGTTTTGGTTCACATTAAAGCTTTTATCACAGTGTCATGTTGCGCAATGAAGACTTGAACACCCCAACACAAGGGAGGCCTCCTCCGTCTGCTCTGTACAATCCTTAAAAAGACGCTCAGGCATGTCTGCAGTTTGGCAACGATACCCATGAGGATGAGGCTGTGCTTACTCAATTCTCGCATTTCTCATGTGTCAACCAACTCTGCTTGTGTGTCCGTGTTGACATTCTTGTATTTGCAGTAAAATATTGAACTCCTCCTCCACTGTTCTCTGGTCCACCGTCACAAAGCCTCCCTAACATACACAAACATCTATTGCTCACATGTTTTTGCTTTAAACAATGACGATCAAAAATGTGTTCGCATTGATGAATCATTTTCCAAAATAGTGATGTTCAAAGTTCAAGGCAGACTTGTTCTGCAGTTCAGACTTTTTTCCTAAATATTTTTCATTATGCTGGCAGAGAATCAACTTTATCTAATGCAAAGGGGAGTGCGTATGAGCTGAGAGGACAAATCACCATAAGACATATGATCCTGGACAAAAACAGGTGAAAATAAGAATTACAGCCACCTGGAAAGCAAGCTGCTGCCTAAAGGTCACATAAAGGAATATCTTCAAACACAAGAGAGCATAATGTAACAGAGCCTGCGCGACTCTGTTTTTCACTAGAATTCATAAGAGTTAAACACTTCCTCTTTTCTCTGGAGGAGAGTAGAAAACAGGCTTGCATAATGTTCCCCTTAGTGTGAGCCGACATGTTCCCACTTCACCATCTCCTACCAGCACGGCACACTGACCCCGCACAAATAAAGACCCACTGACTGATTATGCAGCGGGTCCAGATGGACGAGGCTTCCACGGCGAGGATGGTGAAGCAGTCGGAGGGAGACAACTTTAAGCGACAGCTCAACGAGATCCAACAGTTCAAGCATGGCCCGGTTTCCTTTATCAGACAAAAGACGGACCAGAGGCAGTAAACCAGGATTTCCCCCCGCGGTCTGCACGTGTTCATTTATCAAAATCAGGAAAAGTTATCCGTCCGGTGGGTGGACGGGATCAAAATGACTGAGCGGCTTGGAATTAAGGGGCAAAACAATGCACCGTCTTAAACGGGACTCAAGTTCAAGTACATGTGAACTTTACAGATCTGTCATGCACCGGGACCTTTGGATGAGAGAACATAAATATTCTCCTTTTCAAAGCCGGGAGATTTAAAAATCACTCCTTTTTTATACTGTTTGGACAAAGCAAAACTGCTGCTCCGGGATTTGAATGTGCAACGCACCAAAATGGGAATAACATTCCATAAAAACTAAAGAAGCCCTCCGTGCCCCCGGGGTGCCGCAGATAAGTGAGGGACTAAAGAAGAGTCATTGATTTTGCGGTGAATTCACAGTAAGATATAATGAGGGTCAGGTGATGGGGCCCACTTCATTTTAAAGCACCGACGTGACCGCAATGCATATGGCAGAAACACGGAGCTGAGGGCCGCACGAGGGAAACGCGTATGAAGGCAGTTAGGAGCCATTCGTGTCATATTTGCCTTCTTGTTGTCAAAAAGTTCAACGGAGCTATAAAAAGCCGAAGACAGCAGGCATCTCAGAAGAGTGCAGCGTCACTCTGTAAATATTAAACAATGGGCTCATTCTTGATGAGGCAGCATCAGCAAAGATCAATGAAGCTAAATCCAGAGCTCAATTGAGCACAGACGTGATTGCTCAGTCAAAAAAAAAAAAAAGAAAGATGCATTAGAGAATTGAGTCGGGCTGAAGTCTTACATTGAATTATGCTCGAAATGAAATTATGCACACACTGTGAAATGAGCGCAGGCTGGCACGGAGGAGAAAGGTACTCCACCGAGAGGGGGGGGGGGGACGCAAGGCTGCATTCAGCCTCTGCCAAACCCTCGGTGATGCCTCTGGTCTGATGACACTGCGTCCTGTCACACCATCTCACTATTCAGTGACCACCCCGTTTTGTCAGTCTGCATCCCGTTTGCCGAGCGCTGAGTGACCAGAAGGCTATAAAGCCCTCTCTCTAGTCATCACAAAAGCAACTTTTCCTGAACATCTTTCTCCTTCGACTAATAAAAGGCTGCTTTGTATGCATCTTTAACAGAGCAGATACAGTGTCTGAAACAGATTGATCTGCTCTCCGATGGAAAAGACTGCAGTGTTATATGAGAATGCATTACAACTCCCTCCATTAATGGAAAGAGATGTAATAAAAAAGTATCTATTTCTTACTGAAATTATTCATATGGTGGTGGTGGATGAATCTGCTGTGATAAGACTGTTGCAAGTTTAAATCAATGCTTGCTTTATTTTTTTTTAAAGGGTCAATCAATCTGGCTATTTATGCAGCGTTTTTTCCAAAATGTACTCAAAATCCTAACAAAGTCAAAGAACCGCAAGTTTTAAGGGCAAAACACATGAAAAACTGAAGACGAATCAAAGGCCTAAAGATGTCATATTAATAACATGGACAAATATAGCACAAGTCAACCCAAAAAGGTGGGCTTTAAGTTTTAAGGACTAAAACAGTAGGTTTCACAGGAGATTAGCCAGAAAATTGAAAGCTGTGTCTGTATTTTGGACCTGGAAATCCGCTGAGCACTGGGCTCAGTCTGCAGTCGTGGGGTGAGGAGTTCTGGAGGAGCTGCAGGGAACTATAGCGTCTTTAATATAGGATGAAGCAAAGCCACTTAAAACTTCAGATGTGTCAAGGAGGATTGGAAATTTCACAGGGAGCCGGTGATAGAGCACAGTATTTCCGGGCCGATCATTTCTATTTCTCCTAATTTTTTCAGCTTTTACATCCAAAGTGCTCTCATCAAACTTGTATTTTGTATGGCCTGCGAGTGGCTTTGCTTTTAAATCACACGCTGTAAAAGGACTGACGGTATTCTGACCTCTTAGAGTACAGAAACATCCCTGGGCCTCTCCTTGAATAAAAGCTGCATGC